GTAGGTCAACCACCAACTAGTAATAATATGTACATGATTGTACATGTATATACATATATAATCATATATATATATATCATAAATATCATGATCATCAATATATATATATGTATACATATATATATATATATACATAAACATGCATATTTGTACATCCATATTATCATCATCTAACTGGGACTCTCATTCTTCACTCTGGGTGAGCTGCCAAGGAGATCGATGCCCTGGCCCGAAGCAGAGATTCCGAAAAGGCCATAGCGCAGCCCCAAAAGAAAAATCATGGGTTGAATGGGCATTTTAATATAAAAATAATGGTATATAATGGTTGGTATATATAATAATTACACCATACACTTATATTATAAAATCTATATCAAGAGTCGGATCATAAGTCAATGGATTGGTTTAAGGGAAAATCTACAGGACAGCCCCATGATAAAAACATGGGAAAAATGGAAAATCTGGTTTCCGGTTTCAATTTTCACAAAGCAAAATCCAATCAATAAGGGAACTCTAGTTATGTAAGTGGTTAAACTTACTATTAGTGGTTAAACAAGACCAATATGAAAGTTATGATATTCGTATATGACCACTATAGATATGCAACTAATATATGGTCAGTTTTTTTTGAAGTTAAACTCAATATGAGTTACAAAACCAGATTGTGATATACCTTAAAACAAGACCATAGATATTAGATGATATTTGTTCTGACCAGTTAGTTTATTGGCAATTAGAGTGGTTATACACGTAATTTGGTTATGATTGTTCATAGTTAAGTGGTTACACCCTGGAAATTCAACGTAACTCTGGAAATTGTGCATTTTATTTGGATGATTTGCCTATTGAAATGGTGACATTCAATAGCTATATCCATAGTTCGAGTGCTTTTCCCAACTCCTGGGGTGAAAAAAAAACCACAAACAGAGGCACTATCGTTGCATGAGTAGAGACATCAACTGCGAAGGTGGAGTTTTAACTGGGTGACTCAAGGTGTTCGCGACGATTTCTGCTGTTTATGTTTATGCGGGGTTTCTCTCATCCCAAATTCTTTCGAACGCTTTGTTGTGGTTGGTGAACGATGTTTCGCCAAGCCATATTTTTTCAATGAAGTGTTTTCAGTTTGATTCATGGCTTTATTTCGGGAGGAAATGATCAGCAGATCCAACGTCAGCCATGCAACATGTGTGTTTAAGATCTGCAGATTCTCATCTTTCAGGAGGCCAAAACTGCCAAATGTGTGGAGATTCGCAACCTCACAGACTCGGAGGGAGAGGCCGGAGGTATGGGCTTTGCTCGGAAACACCGAGGTTCACCCAGGAAACGTCTTGGGAAGTTACAGTTTTTTTTTGGGGGTACCCTCTGGTAAACTAACATAGCTGTTGAAAATGGCCATTTATAGTTGATTTACCCATTGAAAATGGTGATTTTCCATAGTTATCTTAGTTTACCAGAGGGTATCTGTTTGGCGGTGTCCTTTACATTTTATCAAACCGCTGTGGAATACGTCGAGCTCGCGACTTTTTTGTTGGTCAATATCCTCTACGGAAAAATGATACCCTTCATCGACGGATTGCATTTGGTTAAGCCTCCATGAAGCATCGTTTCACTCTTATGTACAATTATTGCACAGGAGACATAGAAGTGTAGATATAGATATGAATAGATAACTACCCGAATTTAGACAATATACATGTAATACATGTATATATGTATATAAAATATATACGTATACAGTACATGTGTAAGTGTATAATATATATATATATATACATGTATACTGGTTGGTGGTTCCAAACATTTTCTATTTTCCATTTCATATATGGGATGTCATCCTTCCCATTGACGAACTCATATGTTTCAGAGGGGTAGGTCAACCACCAACCAGTTATATAATATGGGAATGGGTCATAACCTATGAAATTACCATACTGGGGGAATCAACATCCATTGATCCTTCACACAGAAAGCTAGCTGGACCCAGGCAACCTGGATGCCTTTCACCACAGAGGTGCCGGCTATCGAACTATTGCTGGCTGCTATCCAGCTGACTGATGACACATTTGAGGGCAAACATTGAAATCCGAACCTTGTTTGGAGCCAGTATTGACATAATATATATATAATATAATATATATATATGATATAATATATATAATATATATAATAATAATAATATATATATATAATAATATATATATAATAATAATATATATATATATAATAATAATAATAATAATAATATATATATATATAATAATAATAATAATAATATATATATAATAATATATATATATAGTAATAATATATATAATAATAATAATAATAATACTAATATATATATATATATATAATAATAATATATATATATAATATGATATATATATATAATATGATATATATAATATGATATATATAATATGATATATATAATATGATATATATAATATAATATATATATATATAATATATAATGATATATATATAATTATTTATATATATATATAATAATAATATATATAATAATAATATATATATATAATATGATATATATATAATATGATATATATAATATGATATATATAATATGATATATATAATATGATATATATAATATGATATATATATATAATATGATATATATATAATATAATACATACTATAAATAATATATTTATATAATATAATAATATATATATATATACATAATATTATATATTACATAATATATATATAATAATATAATTATGTATATATAATAATATATATATATATACATATCTGGAAATTCTTTCCCATTTGGACATGATATACTTTCATGGTGAATTTCCATACCTATGTTCGTTTACCTGTGAGGATACATCCCTTAAAGTGACAACTTGTGCGATGGAATGGGGTACCCTCTTATTGGTGAAACCCGAAGCTATTGGTAGTGAAATGATGGCCACAAGACTGGACGGAACTGATGATTTTACGATCTTGTAATAAAGCTACTTCTACAGCCACGTTGCATCAATTTTCCAGTGTACCTGGGGTGTTGGAAGCACCCCTGTGATCAATGGCCATATTTTGGGTGTATATTCCCTTACATAGGCCTTATAGGATCCTGAAATGGCCATTGATGTGATTGGGATCACATATCAAACATCATCAATTGCTCATTTTTCCCACAACTCCTGGGATCTGAGTTCACCCTGGCCGATGTTTCGATGTTTTTTCAGGGCCTCCTGACATGGGTGGAGTATCGTGTGATGCTATGCACCATCGAAGGCCGGAAGACCCGTGTCCTTAGTTGCGACCGCATGGTTTTGGTCATGTCAATGGATTGGTTTAAGGGAAATTGAAACCGGAAACCCCCATAAAAAATGGGAACATCGATGGTTTCCTGTTTCGATTTTCCCTTAAACTAATCCATTGACATGAACTTGCTTGTTTTGATCAATGTTTGGCTCTTAGGAAAAAATCGAACCACAAAGTAGTAGATTTTGGCAATCATTTGGAACTCAGATCATTCACTTTTCTGCGATGCGCTTGCTTGTTTTGACCCCTTGGTCCTTTTGAAAGGTCTACTTGAGTCATCATGCGTAGCAAGAGGTTAATCCCCAATGATCCAACAATGATGTGCGTTTGGACCAACAAGACTGGGAATTGGACCAAGAGTCTATCATGGACTCAGCGGGGTTTTACTCCCGTTAAGATCGGCTGTGAAGATACTCAAGAGGGGGCTGCACATTCGGGGCAGTGGAAAATGATGTTCAAGCCTCTGGGTGCGTTGCTGTTGTGGTTCGGATTGGCAGATCCGGATGCCATTCCTCAATGGGATAAAGTTGGAGTCGGAAGCTCAAGTCTTCGGAATGTCAATGTGGATTCGGCAACATGTGGACATATGTGGACATATGTGGATCCACACATGGCTTTGTCACTCGGGTATAGCCCCAAAAAGGCAATTTTCATAGGAACAACGATCATTCACCAGTGGAGTTAGGGGCACGATGATTTTAAGACCCCATATGTTTCTCCAGATTTGGGATTTTCATAATTCCCTTTCACCTATCCACTTTCTGCAGTATGGTTTTCCTAGGCCCAAAATGCTTTTTGAGTATCAAAGACTACTTTTTTATTAAACCACTTAGGGGTTTACGGGGCACCCCATTTTTGTCATCCGTTTTAATGGGATTTTCCAGTATCAACCATTCATTTCTGGGTACCCCCATGACTTGGGAAAGCCCCAGATATGCGCCCTCTGGGCTTTTTCTGCTGACGACTGCAGGGTATGTGTTTTTCATGGCGCTTTGTACCATCCAGGGTTTTCTTTGCAAGTGCAGGCATGGTGGAAGTTTCTCCAGCATTTCATTCTTTGGAATATGGATTGATGTACATGAACTATATCAATGGAAACTATACGGATATGTTTACGGTAAACCGTTCCGTAAACCATACTTGGAGGTGCAGTTCCAGCTATAAGTGGAGATATAATCATAGTTACAGGGGTCATATTTTAATTTATGGGAGTTACCCTCTGGTGAACTAACATAGCAATGGAAAATGGCCATTGATAGTAGATTTTCCCATTAAAAATGGTGATTTTCCATTGCTATGTTAGTTCACCAGAGGGTATTACCTTTGCATGGTGAGAAAGAAATTTGAAAAAGTCCACGCCAGCTAAGTGTTACCTTCTTTCTTCATCTCTGAGGATCAGTGGTGTGGGACCAGGTTGTTGAGTAGAAGGGTACCCGAAAACCCCTTCTAAAAGAAATGTCTTGCAGAAAAAAAAGGCACCACCCCAAAAATATTAGTAGTGTATATCAGTGTTATCATTATTCCGATAAGTTTCTTTTATTTTAAGTTACTTTAATTCGACATATCACCAATGTTTTCCTTTCTTGGCTACCTCGGTGCTTTTTGTGGCTCCCTCTGGCCGAGATTGTAGCGGGCGTGGTGCAGATCCAAGACAAGGTGGATCAGGTCGCCCAGTCTCTGCGAGGCCTGTTGCCCAACCAATGGTCTGGCGCTCGGTGAAGCGGTGAAGCCCAGCTTTTTTGATCGAAAAAAGGGGATGTTTGGGGTAAGGTCAATGTCCAGTTGTAACTATTTTGTAACTATGTTGTAACTATTCTTTTTTGGTGACTTTGTTGGTTTGGTTCTTGGGGATTTGAAAATGCAGGGGTGGAACTGAATACCGAACACCCAGCCGCCTTCGTTGTAGCTCCACCCTCAGGTACTGCGTCCGTGTGGATGCACGCTATCCATATGTGGGCAAGCGCGCCTTCTCAAATAGTAAGGAGACGGCCTTAGCATCGGGTGGGTGTGTCGCCCCAAAAACTGGGTCATGAATTTTTGGTCTTGTGTCAGCCCGGACCGACCAATTGAATAATTCTTGTTTGCTAGTACACCACCCGACTTTTTGGGCACGCAAGATTCTACCCATAGCAATACGTATGTTTTCTTATTTTGTTGAGGTGCAACAGTGTAAACACTACAGTTTTGATCCTAGTCCAGCTCTCAAAATAAGATTTCTCCCTGTTGCAGCAACTTGTGAAGCTTCCCTTATCCCAATAAATTTCTGCTCCGCGGCCGCTATCCATATCCAACCCCTGCTGGTGTAGCGCAATGGCTATTTTCCCCTAAGTCCCATGAGTTGCTATGAGTTGCTCCATCACTTTCTGACCGAGGCCTTGTCGCCCCCCTTTTTGACGCCGTTTCCGTCGCGACCGCCTCTACAACCCATTCCGGTCAGACTCGACGCGGACGAGGAGCCTGACGGCCTGTCTGGAAAAGATGGGAGAATCACAAGACACTGTTGGCCAAAATTGTTTTGGGAGGTTTCAAATATAATCCCAAATAACCTGGGTCGAAGCAATCGAATGCCAGGTATGCCAGGTCACAGTGATATGCAGAAACGGGAAAGAAATCCTGAAAAGTCTTCTGGAACGGCAGAAGTATTTGTGTAAGCTTTCTATCGCAGTAGGGCCATGGGAGGGTTGATCTCCCTTATTTTTATCACGCATCTGGCATAGTTCTGTATTGTAGAAGCTAGGCTTTTCAGACGTGAGCCGCCCATTTTAAGGTAATATTGGGATTGCTTCATTGTTAGGTTTACAAAAGAACATGGTATCTTGAAGAAATGGACCCCACATTATATATATATACAATTGTATATATAATTACTATATGTTCTGACTACTACATCTACTAATATCTACTAATATCTACTATCTACTAATATCTACTAATATCTACTAATATCTACTATCTACTAATATCTACTAATATCTACTACAACTATTATAGTTATAACATATTATAACTATATGGTAATGATCCAGATGAATCATTCGAACTTGGAACTGGCAACGCCAACGCCAACGCCAGGAAATCGAGGAAGCGCAACGCGAGGCTGTCTCTTGGATCATAGGAATTTTAATGGGAAACTAGTGTTAGTATGTGTTAATTTATAGGGATTCATAGGGATTCATAGGGATTCATAGGGATTTATAGGGATTTATATGCTGCAATTAAAACCACACACACAATTCGATGGATAGTCACGGGATCTATTGGAAAATAGTCCTAACTTAACATAACTTAACAATTTGATGGGGAGATATTGAGGATATGAACCAACTGAATATGAAATATAGGTGTGTCTGAAAATGGACTTGACCGCCAAAAACCACAATTTTGATGATTTTGGATGGGTATATATATATTGATAGACCATGGCATGGAATAGGGTACCTTATTTTGGACAGGCCAACACACACATCCATTCATAGGCAAATTCACCCCACTTGCTTACCACTTACCAGCAACAATGGGAAACTTTCCAGTTTACCAGGTCGGACTGAGGTTATGAAGTATGTTCGAACCGTTTTGTAATCACCGTGAAAGAATTGCGATGTGCCCTAAATACCAAAAAAAACCAACCATATTCACAAACGCAACTTGTATAATAGCAAAAAATGTGTTCACATACAACACATGGATGTGGGTCCACATTCTCATTTGAGGGCCCATCGGGACTGACCCATTCAAAAAAAAGAGATTGGATTTATGGCCGCCACCTGGTCGAAAACGGACACTTCCGGAGAGACTGGCAAAATACGCGCTGTATAATTATTTATATCTAGAATATATATATATATATACAGTATAATATATATATATACACATAAAACTGACTAATATATATATAACTATCTAATATATATATATATATATATTACATGTATAGTACAAGGATTATTAGGGTACGTACATACTATATGTACGTAGCTACATGTATCAATGCACACGTACATGGAAAATTCTTACGTACACACATAGACTAGACATTCTGAACAGGCTCCATGAAAAAACCTTCCAGATGCTGGATGGGATGCGCCTGTCCAATGTGTTCCTTCGATTCCCATTTTTGTCCTGCAACCCCCCCTTCAACACGTCATAAAATTGGTGTTTCCATGCCAATTTTTGCAACTTTTCTTGAGTTAACAGAGTAATTTTCGTGCCCAGAATCTCCTGCCACAACTCATTGATTTTTGGCTTTGTCTTAAAGCACCCCATTCCATCTGCTGTTTTGACACCTGATTTTCAGTCGTTTTTCCGACGGAACGACCATTTCAATCTTTGGGGGGAAAATCACCCCTTTTTGGACAGTACCAAAGTTTAGTTTAGATCCATGATCCATGGCTATGCTTTGTTATACATGTATATATTTATACATACATAATATACACAGTATGTATGTATGCATTGCATTGCATTGCATTGCATTGTATTCTGTCATATTATCTTACATCGTATATATATATATAATATACACATGTATACAGTATATGTACACACACACATATATATATACACACACACACCGTGTGTATGTATATTCCGTTACATTAGATCCCAGCCTGTCAGGAAGATGCCGACTTCCGCTGGCCCTCACAGCCTTGGGTGGCTCTACGGGTCGGCTGCTGAGCATTTCTATAGTCATGGGGGTACCCCTTTATCGCTGGTTGGTTGGTTTATTTCATGGAACATCCTATTAAAATATTGATGGTTGGTTGGGGTTATATCAGCACAAGTAACATACATCTATATAATATATAATTACTATTATTGTTGTTTTATGATATATGATATATGATATATGATTGATGATGATGATGATGATGATGATGGTGATGATATGGGAAATCCATCTATAACAATGGTTGGCTGGTTTATTTTATGGAAAATCCATCTATAAAATATGAATGAGAGATATATATATATATCTTTAGCCCCATGACTTAGGATCCACTACTAGTGTTTTTAGACAAAATCCAGTGGTTGGGAGGGAGCGATTCGGAGCTGGGGGTATTTTCTTTCTTCCTAGTATACTTCCTAAATGAGGAGCCAAGGAGCTGGGAGCCAAGGAGCTACCTAGAGTTTCCCAACCATCTGATAGTTATATCCAATTAGTCCCTGGCCTGCACCCCCACGTAACGGAGCCCTTGGACTTCCTCGAGTGATATTCTTGACGTTTCGGAATGGGGAGTTCGTATTTTTTCTCATGATATTGTTTATTGATGTTTATTGGACATGCTATGCTATGTTTCCCTTCACGTCGAAGTTCTCGTGCGTCTCAGGGTTTTCATCTGAACTGCGGGCCATTGCTCGTTTCGCAATGTTTCGCAGACTTTTCTTTGGGCTAAGGTTGAGAAAGGCTTCTTCCCCGACAAATATGCGCTCCAATACAAGGCGGAGGGGGCTGAGCAGCATAGACTTTCATGGGTGGCAAGGTATTCCCATTTCAATGGATCGATCAGCTAACATGTGAACATTTTTCTCTCAGATGACCCTTACAGGGGGATGAGTTGTAGATTCTATTGGCACAAATGAACTCTTGGTATGTTTGGGTGCCGACCCTTCCGAACCTTCCTCGGGATAGACAGAGTTTTGATGTTTTGACCGATACCTCAAATTGGGTTTCCGAAACTGGGGGACCACAAAATCATCCACAGTCTGTCATGTTTAAGGGGACACCAATGGTTTGCAATCCCAACTCTATCCTATAAATCCCTATAAATCTCGACAAATCCCGACAAATCCCTATAAATCCCTATAAATCCTACAAATCCTTATACATCCCTATAAATCCCTATAAATCACCTATATCTCACCAATAAATCCACATCAAACCACAGCATCTTTTTTTTTTCGCCGTGCCTGGCTCAGTGCGCTAGGACGCCGTGGCGGGAGGAGAAGAGAGGGGCAAAGAGCACTTTGAAGGCTGCGGGTTGCCAGGATACCCTCAGGGCTGATGGGAATGGCAAAAAGCGACCAGCTATCAGGTGGCAACCATGGCTACCATGGAAAATTTCCATGCCGTGGTTTTTTTCTCATGGATTTCATGTGAATGGAATGGAGATGATGAAGCATGTAAAATGCTGATTATAGTGGATTTTCCCCATTGTTGTGGTTAAAATGGCATTGCGGCTATGGACAATAATCCATGGAACTAGACTGAGTCAGTAAACTACAATCATTAGCGAAAATGAATGAAGATGAAGTTGAAAATACTCGCATGGTACAGTGTATATTTCTCATGTGAGCTTTCCTCTAGCACCCTTGATGTCATTTGCAATTGTAGACTTGTATCAGTTACTTGTCTTCCGGCAATAGGCTTAACTAGTTCAGAAGAACATGAGTTCAAACTCGCATAGTTTGTAGCCTTGCTGAACTTTGCTGAACATGCTGTTTGGCTCAAGAAAACACTCGGACAAAAAGGTTTCATTGCGTGTTCGCTTCCAACTGCATTGCTTTGTTGCCTTGATTCTGCATTGTGTTTGCATCCAACTGCACTTGCATTTGTCCATTTGTGATTTCAACTTGCATTGAACGCGCCTGTCGCGATATATCTTATTTATACTGGATTCAGGAATCAGGTGTGTTTCTCTGATCTTATCTGGTTATCAGCCGTACACGGCTCTATCTTCACTATCACTATTGGGTTGTGAGACTGAACTTTCGAAACAATTTGGTTGCAGAGTAGATCAAGCATTTTCACTGCATTACACCATCTTGATCATTGATCGCGCTTGGCGCGTAATGTCGGAACAGCCTCCAAAACGTGAGCGTGGAAGACGTGGTGGAGATCCTTTTCGCAGATCGCAGGTTGCTCGAAAAGCTGCTGGCTTGGTAAGCCACTTAGACTACTTCGACCCGGAGCAATACGAAATAGACAGGGAGGGTCAACGTAGGCGCGAAGAGCGCTCGAGGTCGGCTGCAGAAGCTGGCGCGGTAGCCAAGGAGGTTTCAGCTGCTGCTGTGCCTGTGCCTGTGCCGCCACCGCCGGCAAGGACAGTGCATCACACAGAATCGGTCAGATCCTTGTCATCTCGACGTGTGATTACATCGAGCTCTTCTGTATCGGTGCCGGCACGACCCATCGCTCCTCCACCTACGCCCACTGGGGGTGCCAGTGGTGAGTGGCAATTGTCGTGGGTGTGGGTGGAACACACCGAGGCGGGTTCAAGGGCCCCTGAGACACCGCCGAAGGCGGCACCGCCTGCAAAGAGGCGATCTAGGTCTCCTTTGCCGCGGAGGTCCAAACCGTTTTCAGCTGCTGCTTCAAAGGTGCCTGCTCCTACAGTTGCTCCAGTGGAAGCAGAGCCCAAGGTGCCGAAGAAGCCGAGATCTCCGAAGCAGAGAAAGGCTGAAACAAGGAAGGTGGCCTCGAGACCGTCTTCCGTTGACACGGCAAAGCCATCGTCTTCGACAAAGCCTGTTGGGTCTGCACCATCTACAGCGTCCTCATCTGCTCCTTCATCCTGTGCTACCACAACACCAGCTGCGCCAGAGCGCACTGTGAAGATCACTCCTGTTCGCAAGGCCAAGGAGCTTGCAAAAGGGGCCGAGTCGGAGGTTGCAAAGCCCAAGTCTCTCCAGGAGAGGACTGTTCAGTTGAAGCCAGCCAAGGCTGCTGCAAAGTCCTCGGAGGTTGTTGCGGACATTGCACCATCTTCCACGGCGTCAGGGGCAAGATCTACTGAGAGACCTTTGATTGGATTGGACTGGCATAAGACTTTGAGCCACGAGCGTGAAACTGACGGTGGTGCTCTGGAGGGTTTTGTTCCGGCATCCAGCATTGCGATCCTCAGGGACTTGTTGAACAAAGGCTGGGATCTTTGCGTGGTGTCATTCAGCAGTGCATTGGCCACGCAAAACACCACGTTGACAGCAGCTCGAGCTTTGGAGCAAAGATTGCAACGTCCGTTCAAGGACATCTGCATTGTGCCTCGCAAGCGCACCTCAGATTGGACAAAGGGACCCAGTGTGACTGGGCATACCCAGTCAAAGGCTGAACTGGTCAAGGAGCTTGGCATTGCCATTTTTGTGGACGATCAGCGTGCCCTCTGCAACGACATCCTTCAGTTGCAAGTCAATCGTGCACGTGGGTCCAAGGTGGTTGCCATCACAACTGACAGCAGATCGCCAAGTGATAGCCTTCGGCCTTTGGAGCGGTTGATCCGAAGAACTGACATTGATTCGGTGCCATTGCCGTCCTATTTGAAGTCATTGGCGTGAGTTGGCACTCCTGGTAAACTTTGATTCCCTGTGAGAAGTGTCAGGATTGATTTTTGTTTGTCAGTGTTTGGCAGCAGCCCTTCAAGTGTTTTCGTTGCCCTTTGTAGATCGCGCTTGCGCGGTAGTCGTTGGTATATCTTTGTCTGAACGCGCGTTGCGCGGAATTTCTCGTCATCTTGATCGCTCGCGCTTGCGCGATTAAATTCATTTGTAATTTGTTTGGGTGTTCGCGCAATTGCGCGGTAGTTTCCCCTGTATCTTTGGCTGCATGAAAAGGGAGGTGCCTGCGACGCCATTCAGAGTTGTCGGTCCAGGGATTGAGTATTCCACATCTTCAGAGTCACCAGAGATGCAGTCGGGTCCAGCAGCGATAGCAGACTCCAGCCCGCCTCAGGAAGTGCAAGTGTCTTCAGCTGCGCGCACGAGGACTGGTGGGCGGTCATCTGCGCATACTGCTACTGGGAGAGATGGTCAAACGTTGAACCAATACAACACCCAAAATTTTCAACAAAATACATTGCACCATCACCAACAACAAAATGTACATCATTCCCAATCCGTTCACAACATGATTGACCCTCAGCAGCTGGAGCATTTAGTTGAATCCACGGTTCAGTATCGGGTAGAAGCTACTGTTTCACAGATGAGGGAGAAAATGAACGCGCATTTGGCGCGTATAGAGTTGGAACACCAGGCTAGGTTGAATCAAGCTGAGCAAGCGAGCCGGTTGGCGATGCAGCGTATACATGCAGAAGGGTCTCAGCAGATTTCACAGGTTCAGCATGAAAGAGACCTAGCTGTTCAGCAATTAAGTAAGGATGCTCATCAGTTGCAACAGGTCCAACAGGAGAAGGCCATTCTGGCCAGACAAGCTGAAGGTGAGATCATGACCGCCACCCAGCGTGCTGAGGCGCAGATCTCAATTCTTGCAGCGGACAACCAGAAGCTGGTGGGAGATCGACAGCAACTGCATGACCAGATGCAGATGCTGAGACAGGAGCTGGCGGCCGCAAAGCAGCAGTTGATGAACAAGGATCTTCTCTCGTATGCATCATCTGTTGTGGGTTCTCCACCAATGATGAACCCTTTTGATATTCCAGCAGTTCAGGGATCTCCGGCTTCGGAACATTTATCTGTCAGGGCCTGTAGTGTAGCTAGCATGAGTCCTATGGAAGTGATGTTTTGTTCATGTTGTGGTTCGCAAAATGTGATTGGAAGACCATCATGTTGGAGGTGTGCTACAATGTTTAGTTTGGCAACAGCCAACAATGGCACGGATCGCTTTCAGGGTCCAGGGTTGCCGTCACCATCAATGCCTCCACCGAGCGATGCTCCATCGATGAGATCACAGATTTTTCAGGATCCACTTGGTGCGTGTAACGCTGCCGATTCAACGGTCAGTGCATGTGCTGGGATTCCACCGATTCCATTGGTTGGATGCACGGGTGCTTTGGGGAATGTTCCTGTTGGAGGTAGATGTGATGTTGGATTTCAGAAGCATCAAATCCAGTATGACCCGAATGGCCCAAGAATTCAAGCGGGACATATTGTTCCGCAACAACCTTTTCGAGATGATCAGAGGGGTATTAGTCGGCCACCATCCATTCCTGAGAATGTTGCAACCAGCAGTGCAAAGTTCTACCGAATGAATTCTTCAACCAACAGCCAAGGGTCCACAGATGGCACTGGGTCTCACCAAGGTGATGTTGGAAATGGCGGTAGAACAGATGGTGGAGATCCACCATCAGGGGGGTGGCTGCTTCCTGGTGAAAAGGATGAAAATGTTTTCAAGATCAAGCATTTGAAAGGAATCCAGATCACTCGTTTGCCAAATGATGCCACTTCATGTAGGGAATGGCGTGCAGCATTTTTAGCTGCAGTGAGTCGCATTGATTTGACTGATCGCGATGTGTTGGTGAAGTTTTGTGTCCATTGCATGGATGGTGGACGTGGTCGCAAGTTTCGTGAAGAGCTTCAGGCATCAACTGCGTTCACGATGTTCAGCAAGCATGTCGCTGCGGAGCTCATCAAGCCTGAAGTTTTGGCAACAAACACTGATCTTGCACATGAACTGACTTCATGGGTGGAGGAATGCGCAACCAAGCAAGAGGGCCCCAAGGGCATGCCTCTGATGAACCTCATTATCAGCTTCTACGAGACTGGGACTGATTCGTCAGTGGCTCTCAGTCAGATGCATCTGTTGTCGCTTCAGTTGACCGGAAAATCTCTCAAGGAGGTTGGGGACTTTGTGAAGAAGACCAACTACGTCTTGCATGGGTTGAAGCCTGAGGACAGGCCAGCCGAGAACACGCTCTACGCATGGCTATGGCATCAGGTGAAGAGAGTGCCAATGTTGAACCGTGTGACAGAGCGGGTCAGGAACAGCAAGGCCAACTCCAAAAAGAGGACGTTCGACTGGCTATGGGCACAGATTGCAGAAGAGTTGAGAGAGCGGCGCCATGACAGCAACTTCGAGAATGTATCAAAGGGGTTGCAGTCGAATCCACCAAGTCAGCTTGCGCTTCCAGCGCAACAGCATGAGCAGTCAGGAAAGGCTTCAGCCAACAAGCCCAAGCATGAATCGAAGGGCAATGCTCCGGCGGCAGCCGGTCCGTTAGATGTTGGGAAGGTGAACCATGAGAAGAACCGGAAGGCACCATGTGCCCTCCACGCGGCTGGCCATTGTAGATTTGGCAAAAGATGCAGGAACCATCATCAAGGAGAACCAGGATCAGATGCAGCGAAGAAGGCCTTCACGGAGCACCAGCAATCAATGCTGAGTTCAAAGGGTGGTCAGAAAGGTTCCGAAAAAGGAGATGGAAAGGGATCCAAGGGAGGAGGAAAGGCCCAGAAGGGAAAGAAAGGAGATGGAAAGGCAACAAAGGGAGCTGCAGCGAGTGCTCCACCAGCAACAGCGGCAGCAGCGGCAGTGGCATCTACAGTCACGATCACTGAAGTCGATGGACAGAAGGTCATGGCGGCCTGGAAAGGTTTCTGTGATTTTTGCTCAAAGGCCTTGCCATCCATGTCCGTGTTTTTGAAGCTGAGCGTTCCCATTTTGGCAACTTTGATTTCTTCGATTGTTGATTCTCCCAAGTTTGAATGCGTGTCGGCTGCATCAGCTCTTCACCCTTGCGTTGAGCAGTTCCGCTCCATGAGCATTGAATTGCTTGGAGACACAGGTGCTGCATATGATATAGGTTCATTGCATGCAATCCAGGAACAGGGAATAGATCCAGAGTTGCTCAAGCCGTGGATCGGATGTCTTCAGAACCCTGTGAGATTTGCAACTGGCGGTGGACCGCAGACATCTCATGAAGAGTTGAAGTTGTATGCCAAACGTGTTGGAGATTTGAAACTTCATTTGCTTGAACATTGCCCTTTAGCCATGTCAATTGGTCAACAGATCAAGCGTGGACGCACATTCATTTGGCGTCATGGTGAAGCTCCATACATCGTACTAGATCACAAAAGGTGTCGAGTATGGTGTCCTCTCGAGCATAGATGGTATGCCAAACGGGTTCAAAACAATGTTCCAATCTTTGCCATTGAGCCGCAACAGCTTGCAGGTGTACCACAACAAGGTGCAACGTCGACAGCTGAGGCAGCACCAGCGGAGGCTGTTAAGCCCGTTGCTGAGGAGCATGATAAGCCCGAGTATCAGGAGGCAGCCGTTTGCTCACAATGTGTTGGGGATGCAACGTCCATTTTTTGTGAGGATTGCATGGAACGACAGTACGCATGTGTATGCGATCTGTATCCAGATGACCATGATAACAATAATAAGCGTGGCATGGATTTGGTCGCGCCAGCGCGCGGACATGACAATGTTTCGCATGATTTGATTTTGTATCAGGACCCGCCACAGGTGGAGCCTGTTCAGGAACACTCCAAGAAGGCCAAGCGGAAGGCACAAAGGAGGAGGAAGTGGGAGAGTGCCACAACCACCGGTCAGGGGGTTCCAGTGAAAGGAAGATCCATGGAATTTCCATCAATGAGATGGTTCTGGACATGAGTCAGTTCTATGAACAAATGGCTCAAACGAAGGATGCATCCGAAGCAGCGGTGTATCGACAGATTGCTAAGGACATCAGCGAGGAGCATGCCACTTTTGACAACTCAGATCCTCCAGGAGAAGCAGTTACTGTTGAACAGCATCATGAGGGACTTCCTGGACATGGCATGTTGATCGAATTCTGCACTTCACCTGACTCGATGTTGGGAAATGTCGCCAAGGAGTATGGTATCCATGTCGTGAGATGCACTGAACAATCGCTCAATGTTGAACAAGAAGGTGTTATCAAAAGTCTTGAAAAGATTGTTGAAAACAAACCTGGATGCGATCTTTGGGGCAGCCTACCTTGTGGACCTTGGTCCCAATGGCAGGCAATGTGCTTGAATCGTCAAGGAGATGAATATGCCAAAAGACTGGATGTTCAAAGAATGAGGTCTAGATTGATGATCCGAAAGTTTCTCCGTTTAGCCAAGGTCGTGGTGAAGCATGGGGGCAGAGTTTCATATGAGTGGCCACGGCATTGCGTTGGCTGGGCAACAAATGAGGTGAAGCATATGTTACAGCAACTGGACATGATGATCGTCGACTTCGATGGATGCAGAGTGGGAGTTGTGGATGGTGATGGCCAACCGCATCTCAAGCGTTGGCGTGTTGCTACAACATGTGGCAGAACAGCTCGAGTTTTCTCCAAGCTCAGATGCCAACATGACTCCGGCTTCAAACACTCCATCATTGAAGGTTCCAAGACAAATCAAACTGGGTTTTACCCGAGGATCATGTGTGAATACATCGTGTACTCGTTATACCCTGACATCATATCCAAACATTGCCCAGCTATGCCAGTAGTCTTTCCTAGCAATCACCAAGAACACAGAGAACGAGAACCTGAGGAAGAGCCAGTTCCAACTCCAACCATTTTTCAGTCTGTGGATTCTTTTGCATGTCCCGCTGATATGTCTGATGGGGAAGCACCAGCAGATGACGAGGACGACAGAGTGAGAGAATCACGAGATGAACGGCTGAAGCGTGAAGCACAGAGTTTGGAACACATGACACTCCATGACCGCAAAAATCCGTTTTGTGAACATTGTTGTCGTGGAAGGATGCTCAGAAGATATGCCCATAGGTTCCGTGCTGATCCAGAGGACAGTGAGATGCCCTATGAGCGAGCTAAGGAATTTGGCAGCATCATCGAGGCAGACAACATCTTTCCAGCTGTGGAATCCAGAGGCTTGGGAGGAGAACTTTGTGCACTTGTTGTCAGGGATAGATACTCTGGAATTTGCATTGCGTACCCACAAACCAGCAGAGACGAGGAGTCCAACTATGAGTCATTGAAACATTTTGCTGGGTACCCGCTTAGCGGACGCACTGATACTGTATTTTGTTCGGACACAGCCCAAGAGTTGACAAATGCAGCATCACGTCTATGTTGGGTTTTGGATCCAAGTGCGCCAAACTATTGGCCACACAATGCACACCTTGAGCGAGAAGTGAGGACGCTTAAGGAGTTGAGCAGGCCGTCACACATCCAAGCTGGTTTTCACAAAAGGCTCTGGACTTTGACAATTGATTATGTTTCAAAAGCAAGATCGTTTTTCTCACCTGCTCCGATTGCCAACCATGAAAAAGGCACTGAGGCGGAGGAGAACAAGATTGGAAAGACCAGATGGCATGTTGCCACAGGGAGTGAGTTTGGAGGACCTCGATATCCGCTTGGGGCTCTTGTGTACTATCGTGCGAAAGGAGACCTCGGTGAGCCAACAACAAAACTGGGACTGTTTGCAGGATGGCATTTGGCGCCTGGGCTCAGATTCCGTGGAAACCTTCTCATAGTTGACTATGAGTCAACCAGGACACGAGCTCACTTACATTGGATTCCCAAGGTTGTTCACCAGCGTGAGACGTTCTTGCCACCAATTGAACATGTTGAGTTTCCGCTCGCGCGTGCTGCGCGCACTGCACTTCTTGATATGACTGATGTTGAGATGGTGTTGAAACGTGATGAATATGACAAGTCGTTTGTTGAAGGTGTTCTTCCATATGATATCTGCATAGATGCATTTCCCATTGAAGACAGGCCGCCTCCACCAGGACATGCTTACATCACATCTCAACGTCTTGAAAAGCATGGAGTAACTGTTGGATGTTCAGGTTGTGAAAATGGACATTCGCGACACACAGCAGAATGCCGTGCGAGGTTTGACGGAATCTATGGACTTCGTAGTGGAGTACCCCCGACACCGTCAGTTGCACCACCAACACCAGCAGCACTTCCACCAACTCCGGCCGGTGAGCGTGCATCATCAAGTGGACATGCTTGTGACCCTCTTGACGATGACATTGTTCCGGAATGTCCGCCAGAAGAGCCTGCAGATGAAGTGTTCCCGGCGGCAGTGACCCGCCAACTTCCACGTGCTGAAGTCATAGCACGACCAGACGCTCTGAAGGCCATACGAAAAGAATTCGATGGTGTGGCCAGTATGGGAACCTGGGATTGGGCCTCTGTGGATGAGGAACACAACGTCAAGAAACGGGCCATCGAGAACCATGAAACAATCCATCTCGCTGACCTCTTAGCAATATGCTCCGAGAAGCACGTCGAATTGGAGCCAGCCTTCAGACAATTGAAAGGCAGAGTGTGTTACCGAGGAGATGCAGCGAAGACAGAGAGTGGAAACATCGCCTTGTACCAGACGCTTTCGGCATCGCCAGCATCAATTGTGGCCGCCAATGCCATAATCTGTTTTGGTTTGATGAGCGGATGCAAGGTGAGCACAGCAGACGCTGTAAAAGCGTATTTACAATCGGAACTGAAGTCACTGTGTGCAACTTGGGTCAGATTGCCTAGAGAGGTTTGGCCTGACGACTGGTTTTGGCCCAGTGGAGAGCCACGCTACCGCCGACCGGTAGTGCGGTTACACAAATCGCTTTACGGCCATCCAGAGGCCGGCTCCCATTGGGAGAAACACCTCAACAAGGAGCTTGTTGCCATGGGTGGAGCTCCAATTGATGAGTTTGCGTCGACATATGTCTTCCCATCATACAACAACTTGGCGCTCATTGTATACGTTGATGACTTTGTGCTTGCTGGAGATGCCACCATGCATGACACATTTTGGCAGGATCTTGGCAAGAGGGTCCTCATTGATGACATTGGGGATCTTGGTCGTTTTCTTGGCCGTCATCACACAACAATTGAGCGTGAGGGCAAGGAACTGTTCGCATTTGACATGAGAGCATATGCTCAAGATATCGTCACTGACTACCTCAGAATCACTGAAGGAAAACAGCTGAAGAAGGTCAACACTCCTTTCTTCGCCAATGGGGACATTGAGGAAGATGATTCCCGTGGGGAATTGGCAGACAAGGCCTCCAGCATCCTTATGAAGATGATGTGGTTGGCCAGGCTTGCAAGGCCAGATCTTCTGAGAGTGACCACTTGGCTTGCGACCAAGATCCAGAAGTGGTGTGCTGGTTGTGACGTAGCGTTGTTCCGAGCCATCTGCTACATAGATAGTACCAAGAATCACATGTTGACCGGTTATGTTGGTGATGGAATGGATGAAGTTTTCCTAGAGTATTTTGTTGATGCAGACCTATGTGGAAGTACAGAGGATTGCTACAGTACCTCAGGTGCATGGATCCAACTGTCCGGAAAGGGCACGTCGTTTCCTTTGTGCTGGGTAAGCAAGAAACAGACAGCGGTGTCTAGAAGCACCACTGAGAGCGAGACCGTGGCTTTGGCAAACATTTTGTTTGATGAGGCGATACCCCTGGCAGAGCTTTTCAGCACGCTCTTGAAACGGAATGTCTTACTGAGAATCAGAGAAGACAACGAAGCCTGCGCAAAAGTATGTGCAGCTGGATATTCTAAGAAGCTTAGGCATTTGAAGAGGGTGCATCGCATCAACCTAGCATCGGTCAAGGAGCAATTAGACAGAGAAGATACAGAGCTCATGTTGGTAGGTACCAAGTATCAACGTGCAGACATATTCACAAAGGCCTTGTCTGGCCCTCTTTGGCAACCAGCCCTGAACATGCTCGGCATTCATGAGGAGTACAACATCATCAAAACCTCTCAAGCAGGGCTCAAGATTAGTCAAGACATGACTCTAGCACCACCTCAAACTGGCGCGGGACCTGCTGAGCATAAGATCGGCTACAAGAAGAAACAGCGGAGGAAGCCGTTACGGCAAGCCCCTTACTCTAAACCAGCCGAAGGTTGACTTCTTGTATGGCACTCTGATCTGTGATGATGACATGAGGGCACAGCCAAGACGTGAATAACTGTTTTGGTGTATAGAAAACCTCAAGGGGGGAGTTGAAAATACTCGCATGGTACAGTGTATATTTCTCATGTGAGCTTTCCTCTAGCACCCTTGATGTCATTTGCAATTGTAGACTTGTATCAGTTACTTGTCTTCCGGCAATAGGCTTAACTAGTTCAGAAGAACATGAGTTCAAACTCGCATAGTTTGTAGCCTTGCTGAACTTTGCTGAACATGCTGTTTGGCTCAAGAAAACACTCGGACAAAAAGGTTTCATTGCGTGTTCGCTTCCAACTGCATTGCTTTGTTGCCTTGATTCTGCATTGTGTTTGCATCCAACTGCACTTGCATTTGTCCATTTGTGATTTCAACTTGCATTGAACGCGCCTGTCGCGATATATCTTATTTATACTGGATTCAGGAATCAGGTGTGTTTCTCTGATCTTATCTGATGATCCATGGAAGTAGATGAAGTAGATTATTGCACCTCTGAATCTGGCGACTTTCCATAGCGACTTCCATGTTTACCAGAGGGTAGGTTGATGGTGTGATTCTTTTGCATATTCTACCCAGCAAAATAGTGCAGAATCATCATCAAAAGGCGATATAAGGGAAGCTGGCCATTACAAAATTCCATGCCTGAGGAATATCTGGTTGGTGGTTTGGATCATTTTTGATTTTTCCATTCAGTTGGGAATTTCATCATCCCAACTGACGAACTCCATCATTTTTCAGAGGGATGGTGATGGAAACCACCAACCAGATCAGAACTGGTGGGTGGCTTGAACTGTTCTTTTTTCTCACTTTTTCAAGGCTGTTTTGGATGGTCCCAGCGCTGCCGGAACCCCGGAACCAGGCTGGCAGGAGCCGCTGCTGGTGGAGCGTTTTGCCAAAGATAAGTTCTGCCCTCAGTGTGACAGGAGTTGGAAATTGGGTGGATTAATGTGGATTATCCATGACTAAAACTTTTGGTGGGGCTAATTTGTCCAGATCATTGTAGCTGTTGGGATTTCTGGGGGATCGAACGGATCCAGATCTTCGTATTTGAACATAGATAAAATGGGGACATCCAAAGTCGTCGGGCCAACTGTGCGAATCTACTTCATCGCCATTGTCACCCGGCTTCAAATGGGACACTCGCCACAGATGCAGGTAACCTGGATCCGCTGGTTGCCTGGTGATTCTAAGATGATCATGGTAGCCTCTGGTCATTTTTCACGCTGTGCGAATCATGTTTGTTCTACTGAACGGGATTCACAGATTGAGTGAATGCATGGCCGTTCATATGATGTTTTAACGCTCAAGATCAAATGGTCGACCCAGTACTTTTGTTCTCGCATGCCATCGCCGTTCTACTTGGTCTGGGGTTGCCTTTGACTTACTCCTCTGGCCAAGCTGAGTGTCCAGCGTGCATCGTGACCTGCGGCAGCATCAGTTGCCCCCCAGTGCATTGTAGTACTGGCCACATTGAATTGGGCACCGCATCTATATTGGCTCTTGGTTGCTTAATTGGACTGGCCTTGCTTTCTTCTTGGTGCTTTCATAGATCTGAGGCTAAGGTGACAGGGCCTGGGAAGGAGCCCATAGGACAGCGGCCAGCACTGGTGGATGGCCGGCGGCCCCTTGGACGGGCAGTTGGCTGGCAACCTGAAGCCAGGTGATAGGATCCTTGCCTGTTACGACGGAGAGGATTTATGGCATTGCCGCTACCTTCTTTCCAGAGTGGACCGGGACTCATGGATTGTGGTGACTCCAGACGCCGATCTCTTTGCAGAAGAAATTTCTCATGGGAATCTCGAATGGTCTGCTTGGCGAGTTTGGCCTGTTGGATCACCTGTTCCTTTTGGAGTGGACGGGAATTTGATCTATGGCTTCAACCCAGAACCCAGTGCAGCCGATTTGCAAAGCTTGATTCAGGAAGGTGCTCAGCATGCAGCCCAGGAGAGAGTGAGATTGGGAATTGCAGCCCCAGCAGCAGCAGTTGTGCCAGCGGCTGGAGTCCCAGCAGGAGGTGGTCCTGGTGGTGGTGGCATTGCACCAGCGCCTGTGCCTGCGCTTGCTGGGCCTGGCAGTGTTGGTGGAGCTGTTGCCGCATTGCCAAATTTGGCTGGTGCTGGTGGTGGTCATGCAGGGCTAGTCCACGGTTTAGCTGCAGGGGGTCCAGGCGCAAATCAGTCCGAGGACGATGCTCGAACCCTGGCAATTTCGCGGGATGTGGATGGGCTGCGCTTCAAAGAGTTCCGCTCCGCAGTACAGGAAGCAAAGCCTGCAGAGTTCGCAGACTGGCCAATTGCAGGTCCCAGAACGGTGAAGTATGTGATCTCCCAGATGCTGGAGCATGGTGGCAGTGCCATAGCACACCATCAAGCATGGCGGGTCGCCTGCAAACTCCAACCAACAGATGGCCCTGCGATGGAGCACGAGGCATGGTCAAAGGTGCTTCAAACTATGATGACCTACGATCAGCTGGATGTGTCAAATTTAACCAGTGCCGAGTTGGTTGTACGAGCGTTGCAGCGCATAGAGGAGAAGCACAAGTTCAAATTGGTTTCTGCCGAGGACGCTGGAGAAGGAGCACTCTTCATGGGAGCGAGCTCTGGCGCCAGGGTGGGATCCATTATCTCACCGAAGTTGACCGAGTGGATTGGCAGCGAGATGCAGAAGGAGGCCATGGTGTCAAAAGAAAGACGAAAAGCTCGAGAAGAGCGGGCATTGTCCCGGAAAGGGGACAAAGATGCAGGAGCTCCCAAGTGATCCATGCCAACGGAGTTGGGGCCTTCAAGTTGACCTTGATCTACATGATTTTGTTTTGCAATTTCAACTTGGTTTGTGCGGGAGTAGATGGCGATGCTGGCCTTTTGGGTGAGACTCGCCAACGTAACATCTTTCCACTGCCGAGTATCCCTGGTGGCAGTGAGTCTGGCTCTCAGGAATCTGGATGGCAGGACTTAGCCAACTCAGGGATTCGTGCACTCAATGAACTTGCTGGGTGCGTTAATTCAAGTTTTGATCGTAAGAAGAGCACTCGTGTTCAACGTAAAGCTCTCAAACACATATCTAGAGCGTTCCAAGAGGTCCACCAAGCCGTTGAAGGTGATGTTGGGCGATCAGCTCTCCAGGATTTGTGTTCTTCATCACGACTGTATCAGGTTGACAGGAGTGATGTAGTGTCGTACGTCAGGGAGAATGTCTCCTGGCCCCAGGTCCAATCTACGCCAATTCCATTGAGCGAATGCTTGGATCCGGCCGACAGTGAAAGACTTGCGACTTGGCGGCAGCATATGCTGAAGAATGACATGAACATTGGTGACGGGCCATCGATCAAGCATGCATACATTGACCCGATCTTGAAGCACAGCCCTCAAGAGTATGTCAAGTTTCTGGAAGAGCTTAAGTGTCGTCATATGGTTTCTTTTCAGCCTTATGTGGGCCATGGAGGAGACCTCGGCATATTCTGTGTTCGAAAGAAAAATGGCATGCAAAGGCTCATCTTTGACACGAGGATTCTCAACCAGAGGTTTGTTGATCCCCCATCCACTGATCTGCCTTCGGCTGATGCATTCACTCGTCTTGAACTACCTCAAGACTCTTCATTCTTTGTGGGCTCTGGGGATTTAGCTAACGCTTTCTACACCCTTGGGGTCCCTGATGAACTGGCCCGAATGTTTACCCTGCCCGCCGTCAAGGCGGAGAAGCTGGGAATCACCACCATTGACGGCTGCGCTGTGAGGCCTGGAGACCTTGTCACCCCTTACCTCACTGTGCTGCCAATGGGTTGGGCTTGGGCTCTACACCTTTGTCAATGCGTATTGATGAAAGCAATTCATGATGCTGGTTTTTTAGAGGGTCAAATTATTAGCGACAAGGGTCAGCCGGTTTGCATTGATTCTCACAATGGTATTGGTTGCGCGGGGTATGTTGACAATTTCCTGGTGATTGGATGCAATCAAAGCTGCGTCAACGCAGGTCTGCAGCGCATTGCAGGCAAACTGAGAGGGCGCGGCTTGACAGTCCATGAAGAGGAGTTTGCAACCCCTTACACTGACTTTGTTGGACTTAGGTTTGACGGGAAATCTGGCACCATTAGCATTAAACCTGAAAGGATTGTCAAGTTGCAGCGAGCGATACAAGAGTTGGTCTCACGTAACTTTGCATCTGGGGAGGTGCTTCAGTTGGTCCTGGGTCATATCACCTGGGCTGTCATGGCTCGGCGTGAAGGGTTATCCATTTTGAGATCTTGTTATGCCTTTGCCAATGAGAATTTGCACACCCCGAAGAAGCTTTGGCCCTCAGTCAAGTGGGAGCTGCAGACTATTGCAGCCATTCTGCCTCTTTTTCGAGCTCATGTCAATGTCGGTTGGTCTGAAGATGTTGTTGCTTCTGATTCATCTCCTTTTGGTTATGGGATTTGTTGCAGAAAACTTGATCCAAAGACTGCTGGTTCCATAGGAGCTCAATCTGAGAGGTGGAGGTACAGGTTCGAAGATGCAGCAGACGCGCGTAAGCACGCAGCCAAAACTGCTGACGTTGAAGAGTTGAGCAAGGATGTCCGTTCTATCATAGCCTCTCAAGAACAGTCTCAAACTACTGAACAATTTATCGAGGGTTTCAGTGAAGTTCCAATTCAAGTCCTTCATCCAGATGATTGGCAGATTGCTTGGTCTATGCCTTGGAGATTTCAAGACAATATACTTCACACCGAAGCTCTAGCTCTTTGTTGGTCTGTTGAGCATGCTTTGAGAGCGAATAGAAACTTTGGTCGACGCATCCTTTTCCTAAGTGACAATCTTCCCCTCACCCTTGGTGTTTGCAAGGGACGGGCAAAATCCAGCTTTCTCACCAAGCCTTTGAGAAAAATATGCGCTTTGTCTCTTGCCACTGGTTCAAAGTTTCATGTGCGTTGGGTTCCGTCCGAATGGAACGTTGCGGACAAGCCTTCGCGAGCCATTAGTCAGTGGGGCGGTCGCGGTCTAGAAGGCTGGATTACTGACAGGTCAGACCGAGGACCGCGGCGACAGCGGACTGAAGGATATGGTGGAGAGAAGATTGAAAAGACAGAAAAAGGTAATGCAAGAGACCATAGTCCCAGAGGGGTTGACATACCTGGAAGCCCGAAGTGTCAGGCAGTCAACAATAGTGGATTACTCAAAGAGGTTTGCAGAATTCCAAGGTTGGTTGAAGGTTCATCAGATTTGGATCGATTCATCACTGGCGATGGACACTGCACTGATAGAGCTACTCCAAGAAATGTTCGACATTGGGCGAGGAATCAACGACGGGATCAGACTGGTTGCAGCAGTGAAGTTTCATGTTCCTCATTTTTGCACCCAACTGCCCCGATCAAGCCGATCTCTTCGAGGCTGGCATCTAGCAGCCCCACCTCAGCAAAGGATGCCCATCCCCATCGAGGTGCTGATGGCCGTGATTGGTCGGCTCCTGAACCTCAATGCGGTGGAGTTCGCGTTGAGGTTGTTCCTGCAGTTTTCAACATACATGAGACCAGGGGAGTGCAGCCAGTTGTTAGTGAAGCAGTTGGTTCCACCACAAGCAGCCTCAACCCAGGCATTCAAGTTTTGGGCAATTCTGTTGCATCCAGCCGACGAACTGATTCCTGGGAAGACGGGCGTCTTCGACGCCTCAATCATTCTGGACTCAGATTTTTGGATGTTTCCCCACCTTTCAAAACTTCAGCTGGGAAAGAGGCCAAACGACAACCTCTGGTCGAAGTCACATTCAGAACTTCGGGAGCATTTCAACCAAGCGGTAGAATATCTCAGTCTGCAAAAACTGGGTCTCACCCTCTACGCACTGAGGCATGGCGGGGCAACCCACGACGTGTTGTCACGGCGCCGATCGATGTTGGAGGTGAAGCAGCGAGGGAGGTGGAGTTCGGATGTGTCCCTGAAACGGTATGTCAAAGAAGCCAGGCTCCAAACCGAGTTGGCAAAGGTTCCCCAAAGTGTAAAGACCTACGGTCAAGTGATCCTGGAAGGGTTACCAGCTTTTCTCATGAAACCCAGCTTGGCGCCGAAGGCACCAAATGGAATTCGAATGTGACCCATAGGATGCGTCAAAGAGGGAGACAGCACAGAGTTGGCCCTAAGTCTCTTAGCGGTTCCAGTGTTCTCAAGAAGTTGTTTAAAGACGTCTCCCGAAAACACCGTGGGTCTTTTCATGGGGTCTTCCTTGACATTTTTTCTGGTGATGGCAGTGTTGCAAAATTTCTGACCCAAAATGGTTTTCCTGTTATTAGTATTGACATCAATCTTGACCCTCGTTTTGATGTGTTGGACCCCCAAGTTGCTAAAATCATTCTGGGTTGGATTCGTAGCCGTTGTGTTTTAGGTGTTTGGGTTGCTACTCCAAACATCTCATGGAGCCGAGCCCGACATGGGCCCTTAGGTAGCAGTTGGGATCCGATGCGCACCAACAGCCACATTTTTGGCGTACCCAATCTTGGTGTCAATGACCAAGAGAAAGTGCGTATTGGAAACCATACTATGAAGTTCACTGCGCAAATCATCACCAGTTGTGTCCACCAAAGGACTCCTTGTTTTCTGGAAAATCCCAACCATTCCATGATGTGGCTTGCGCCGCCGATCAAACATCTTTGTGCTCATCGTGTTTCTCGCTCCTTTGTTTGTGATTTTTGTCAGTATGGTGCTAGGTGGCGTAAGCGTACTAGAATCCAGTCTTGGTTTGGTTGTGGTGATAGCGATTTATCCCGACAATGTTCTGGCCATAATGGGGTCTGTTCTCGCACTCATAAGCATCATATCATTCTCAAAGGTCAAGACCCCATTAGCAAACAGCTTTGGACCCATCTTGCTCAGCCTTATCCCAAGACCTTTGGAGCTGTGGCAGGCAAAGCCCTTGTCAATAGTTTTCAAAACATGCATACCTTCCATTTGAAGCAAGTTTACGGAAATTGAAGTCCTGGGTCTTCTGTTTTTCTTCGGCCAGTGATTTGCTAACTCACATCATGTCCAGTTGCCTTTGTGACCATGGTGGATGGGATGACAGGCAATGCAGGCAGCGTTCGTTGCTGCTTGTCTTTTTCCTTTGTGATGTCTATTACTGCCTGCAGTGTCCGCCTGTCCCAGAAAAGATCCATCTGGCCGCAGCAACGATTGTGTGATGTTTGTTCTACTGAACGGGATTCACAGATTGAGTGAATGCATGGCCGTTCATATGATGTTTTAACGCTCAAGATCCCAACCCTGTAGTAACCCGCCCTGAGTGGTGGGGGATGACAGGCAATGCAGGCAGCGTTCGTTGCTGCTTGTCTTTTTCCTTTGTGATGTCTATTACTGCCTGCAGTGTCCGCCTGTCCCAGAAAAGATCCATCTGGCCGCAGCAACGATTGTGTGATAATTTTGAAGCCATGTTGAAGCCATGTTTATCACCATTCATAATCAAATCTATGGATAAAATATGATCAACTCATGATGTTCATCATCTATGAATGGATAACTTCTCCAATAATTCCAACGATGAACCGGGTTCACATCACCCATTCATCCCATTCCATTGCCGAAAACCAGCGGACTGTCGCGATTCCATGGGATGGGGTAGATCATGACCAGGCGCAATAGCGAGCAGTGGGAAATTCTACGTGTGGCTTTGCCAACAGGACCCGTTACGACGGTGGAACAACTGGGACTTGGTGGTGTGGTGCCGGTGATGGCACGAAAAACTACTGTAAAAAGCCACGTTTTTTTCGGGACCTGATTGGATTTTTGTGAACAAATCACCATTTTCCTGGGCTTTTAGATGCGTGACGAGCCAGAGACATGCTCCAGTCTCCTAGTCCTTCGTCCTTCGAGTCAATCCCGAGCTTTTGGGCGGTCGCAGCGAGAGCCATCCAAAAAAGAGACGCTTCAAGTCCCAACAGATCCCAACTGATTGTTTTTTTTGTTGGTTGTAGCAACATCAGCTGCAAAAATGCTGACCCTGTCATTTTGGCCATGGCTGATCGAACCGACCATGGCTAGTATCAACTGTGATTAGTAAGCATCATTTCCGTGAATCAAAAATATCCGTATACACACGCATGATTCGATGGTGATGTATACAACATGGACAAATATCACACACATATACATACATATACATACATATACATACATATACATACATATACATACATATACATACATATACATACATATACATACATATACATACATATACAGATCATATACATACATATACAGATCATATACAACATAACATAACATGACATAACATAACATAACATTGCATTGCATTACATTGCATTACATACATGTATATATCATACATTTATGTATTTAGGGTAATTAGATACATAAAACCAGATCGCATTGATTGACATCTCCTGTTGAGGCGCACCAGCCGTGGTGGTGCTTCGCATGATGACGCTGACGCCGAAGACAACGGGACCACTGCGGGGACGCACGGTGGGAAAATCCACCATAACGACTGTTGTTTTTATAAGAGACCCAGCCAGCCACGTTTGATTATTGGAGGCTCCTTGATAAAACTACAAGATTTTTTGTGTCCGTATGTAGTATGAATAGAAATAACTGCACGGATGAACAATCGATTTATGAATATGATAAGACATACTCGTGTGTTTGGACATGTAGAGGACATGATTGTGCAAACACATGTGGTACCGCGCAAGTCCCAAGACCTCAAAAGTATTGTTTTGGACATCACGACTTGCTATAGATCGCTGAATGGCATGAAACAACTTGAAACATCTTGATACATAAACCATCATAAACGATTGCTCATGATGATTTCTGGTTACCACCATTTTAGGAAACCCCAAATTTTCTCATATCTTCCCTTGACTTTCCAAAAAACAATTCGCATGCCGCGGCCCCAAGCCTTCCCAGGCAATGGAGCGTCGCCAGCGCCCCAGTGGCCAGTGCTGTGGCGCCCCCTCGGGTGGCCGAGGTGCAGGGAAGAACGTCGGGGGACTCGGGAAACTCGGGAAACTCGGGGAACTCTGGTGGGGTTAGAATTGCAGATCATGAATTGGGGTATTTCTGTATTTCTATGTTAGTTTCTAAATGTCTATTAGTTTCTATATGAATTTCTATGGGAAACTATAAGTAACATAGAAATTCATATAGAAACTCATAGACTTAAAAAAACACCATATGGGGGTTTCCAGAAATGGGATTGCCACAGTTGGGAATGTCAGCCAAGAACATGCGGTCCGTTGCCGGGCAAGCCTTTGGGAAGCGGGGACTCCGGGCAAGTCTATCGAACTGAAACAGCACACGAAAAACAAGATTACCTGTTCGCTGATCTAACAGTCCAACTCAGCGAAGGGAGGTGTGCAGAAATGGTTCTTGTTCTACTCGCCCCCCCAATTTAGGCTTGTTTTTTTTCAAATATCAATTCCAGTGAGATTTACAGTCTCATCATTTTCCTCATGGCCCTATGGTTATTTGGGGGTACTGTGCTCCAGGCCCTACCACCCCCGCCGTGGTGTGGGGTGGTATACCCCCCCCTCCTCCCCTGTGGTAATGGCTGTGGTGGTGGGGGGGTGGTAGTCATGTAAATTGGTAGTCAACAGATATTAGGTGTATAGTATATATAGTATTGGGAATTACATATGGTTGTATATAATGTAGGTATATAGGCATATAGGCATGCAATGGGTAGTACATTAGATATGTATTAGGTTACACAGGGTATCTATTAGGTGTGTAGTGTTAGGTATGTAGTGTTATATAGGTTTTCTGTATGTAATATTCAGTAGTGTTAGGTACGCATATACTTTATATGCTTTATATACAACATAATATATATATATAGATACGTACATATGTGTGTATATATATATATATGCCCCCATATGAGATCTTCCCCCTTCCCCCCCCTGTGGCTGGTAGTGACCCATGGTGGGGTGGAGAGACGGAGGACGGGACCATATATATGTATATACATATATGCCTGGGTAAATTATGGTTAATAAGGGATACATACCCTAAAATGGCCTTATTTCAGGTTAGTGAAGTATTATAATATACCCATATATCATATATATCATATATATCATATATATCATATATATCATATATATCATATATATCATATATATCATATATATCATATATATCATATATATCATATATACATATATATATACACATACACATAGACACCTAATTGTTGAGACATACCTGTGATGATCCCAGAGGACTTGGTTGTTTTTGGCTCCGACTCAGGATGACACTGCTACCAACTCTGGGTGGCCTTCGCCTGTCCATGCGCTTCTTTCTGCAGCCTGGGGAGGTCTTGAAGGAGGCGCCCAGCGTCCCAGCGTCGAGCCTTAGCGAACTTGGAGCCTTAGCGTCTGGTTATGTCAAAATAGCTATAGATAATGGCCATTTACAGATGATAAATAGCTAGTAAGAATGGACATTTTCAATAGCGATGTTAAATTACCAGAGGGTACCAGTGAACAACCCACTGAGATCCACTTGCTAACGCTGAGTTGCACTGGCTAAAACATGCACTCTCTTAATCATATTTCATCATTACCCATTCTTGAGCCAGTCAATGGGTTTGTTGGGAACGTGAGGGTTTCCTGTAGACTCCTGTTTTGCCGCAAGTAGCTGGTACAGCTAGATGTTTCTCCCCCATCCAGATGAGAAGAACAGGGATCCATCTTGAAATGGATCCGATGGGGTATGCCACGGTAGTATACCTGAAATGGCATTTTGAATTGATCCACATGATGATAAACCCATGGGATTTTATGGGGTGCCCCTCGAAAATTTTGTGTCCAGCCAATGGTTCACACGGTGTTTTCGAACAACGAATTGATCCAAAAACTTGGTGGCTCATCCCGGTTAGCTGGGTCATAGCAGAGAGGATTCTGGCTTCGTCCACTTATTTTTACGGTGCATCCAGTTGGACCGGAACGATCTCCACTTAGTCTGGAGAAATAGATATCATAGGGGTCAAAACCATTCAAAACCTATGAAATTACATGAAATTCCTGGGGGAATCAACATCCACCAGCTATCTTAGGGATTCTTAGGGTCGGGTTTTGGCTCATAGCCATATTTCTGTGGGAATATCATCCACTTCCGAAGTTAAGTGAACCACAAAGCACACCAGGCTGAAAACTTCGACTGCACCACTAGCCTCAAGTCTCCTGATGTTCTGGTTGCAAAGATCGTAGATTCGCATAGAATATCACATCCAAACCTATGTTCGTGGCCGTTTGATTTCTATAATATCTATGTACAATGTATATATATATATATATATGTATGTACATGCACTATATATATAATCAAGTATAATTATATATATATATGTATGTATATGCACACAGTATAAACATGCGTATGCAGACACGTATACATAGACGTATACATAGACGTATACATAGATGTATACAAAGACGTATACATAGACGTATACAAACACGTATACAAACACGTACACAAACACGTATACAAACACGTATTCAAACACGTATTCAAACATGTATACAAACACGTATACAAACACGTATACAAACACGTATACATACATACCTACCTACCTACATACATACCTACCTACCTACATACCTACATACCGACATACCGACATACCGACATACCGACATACCGACATACCTACACACCTACAGACCTACATACCTACATTACTTTACATCACAACACATCAAATTACATTGCATTACTTGTACATTACATTACGTTACATTGCGTTACGCTACATTACATTACATGAGATATGCACACATGATAGCCGAGGCCCCCCAGTCATAAGTTCATACGCCAGGGGCACCTGCAGATGACGCAGCGAGTTGGCACGGTCACTGAGTCGGTGCGGAAGCCCAGGAATTTTTGGGTCGACTCGATGGTTCCCGGTGCCCACCGTTGGGTTGATGGTTTACAACAATGGATAAAGGGTTGATGATGGATGATACCCTCTAGTAATTTAAAGTAGCTATTGAAGATGGCCCATTTATAGTGGATTTACCCATTGAAAATTGTGGATCTTTCCATAGTTACGTTAGTTTACCAGAGGGTAATGGAAAATGATAGTTCATGAATCATGGCCGATGTTGACTAATGTATGCTAATTGTGAATGGTTGACCCATGTTGAAAATAGTTGACAATGGTTAAGAATAGTTGACGATGGTTGAAATGAATTGATCCATTATCAAAGGCAAACCCAATCATGAAATCGATGTTTGATAATGATTCATGAGGGGTCTATAGTAGCCAACAATAATGAATGGAACATGGATAATTAGAATACCAACATACCGCTAATTGACCCATTTAGTTCAATGATTTACCAGTTAAAAAACGTGTAATTGTTCTATGGCAAACTGCGACATTACCAGAGCAGATACAATTGGGATATGATGCGGATGAGGATAGTCTGTGATGATACAAGGATGACAGCAATAATGGATGATGATGGTTGGTTGGGGTTATATCAGCACAAGTAACATACATCTATATATAATTGCCGTATTGTTGTTTTATGATATATGATACATGATATATGATATATGATATATGATTGATGATGATGATGATGATGATGATTGATGATGATGATTGATGATGATGATGATGATGATGATTGATGATGATTGATGATGATGATGATGATGATGGTGCTGATGATGATGATGATGATGTTGATGATGATGATGATAACGATGAGGATGATGATGAGGATAATGTACTCAGATTTTGATTTTGTATATCCAATTTGATTGGAATTACTATGAAAACAATAAAGTCAAGCTTTTTTGGTCTGTCACAGATGCTTATGAAACCATTTCTTATTTGTCCCGAATGGTAAGCATTTGTGATTTGTGTATAGCCAAGATGATTTATGAAAATCTCTTTGACAGATGATCCCCTTGATGGATATATGATCCATATCCGAAATGATGATGCATATTTCTGGATCACACATTTTTATGTATCATTGATCTTGATGAATGAACCTTCTAGAAAGGTGCTAACTTAATATAGTCATATGGAGGTTTCCTAAAATAGGGGTACCCCTGTTCATCATCCACTTTAATAGGATTTTCCATTGTAAATCATCTATTTTGGGGTACCCCCATTTTATGAAACCCTCATATAATATAGCCATGCCCAGATTTGAAGCACCAACCACGTTGTTTTCCAAGGTTGGACATCGCTATGTCACGCAGTACCAGCTGCGAGTTCGAATGAAAGGTGAAACTCATAAGGTGCCCCTGGGGGTGAACCTGGGTGAAGCGGTTGTGGATATTGTGACGAACGCCAAAAAATGGGTAATGATACTGTGGATGGTTGCGAAATCCTGCACCAGGCAGGGTAACTATTGATAACTATGGAACACTGTAAAATTCATGGGATTATACCGTGATCAACCATCAACTGGTGCAGGATTTCGCAACCATAAAAAAGTATGTTCGTTCCCAGAGATTTTTAAACAGGATGTGGGTTTAAACAACCGTTCATGGAGGATACCCTCTGGTAAACTAACATAACTATGGAAAGATCCACCATTTTCAATGGGTAAATCCACTATTTCTATGGTCATTTTCAATAGTTTTCTGTTAACAAATTACCAGAGGGTATACCAAAACATATTTCTGGGACATGGGAAGATGACATGAGATGACATCAACCATGGGGATGGGTCGAGTTAGTCGAGTTAGGACCGGACTAGTTGTCGAGTGGGTGAATGTAGGTATCTAGAAAGTATATGGGCAGGTAACTAATTCGGAAATACGTAGCTAGTGTTTCAGAAATGTGTGCAGCTCATTAAACAAACTAAAAAAACAGCTTCTATTTGGAATGCTGCTGCAAAATAGCATAGTTAAATATATAGGCTTTTCTGGCGGAGCTCCTGCTTTAGGGCGCCGGGGTTTTGATCCACTGGGTGAAACACGTACGTTTTTCGAGACACGGTCAGTCATATTGGGATACAAAATCTCGTTTTTTTCAAGATTTTGACTGGACCGATTTCGGACAACTTTTTGATTTTTGATAGGTAAATAGTTTCTGTCATGGGCAATTTTCGATTGCGTTAAAACACTGGAGACTATCAGTCGCTAACCACATCAAACAAACTCTTGGCTGAGCATGGACCTTTGGGATGTTTTAGGGGGATTCTTGTAGCATAAAACTTGCGAATCTTCGAATGTGTGGGAAGTGGATGATGTGGATGATTGAGATCTCATCCCTGCTTTCGCAGCTTGTAAGATAGGCCATGGGCCATCTGGATAAGCAGCGCCATCGTGAAACTCGCAGTATTCATCAGCCGCGTGATTGACATTTTTTTGGAGGATCGTTCCACTAGGTGGTTTAGCCAATTTTATTTCTGGTTGGTGGTGACTGGAACCAATATCATTTGGGTTTTTAATGGGATATAATGGGATATAATAATCAATACTGGAACCATGGAATGGATTATGACTTTCCATTTGGAATTTTAGGACTTTCCATATATTGGGAATTTCATCATCCCAACTGACGAAGTCCATCATTTTTCAGAGGGGTAGGTCAACCACCAACCAACCAACCAGATTTGGTATTATGCTTGGTGACTTTATTTTACCTATGTACCAACCCCCAGAAATGGTCAACCAGTTTCCAGTTTTTCTTGGTTGACATTCTGCATGCACATGTTCTTGCTGGTTAAGTCCAATACTTTGTGATCAATCTCCCCATGAGATATCCCATTATAACATATTATAACACCTTATTTTATTGGTCAGGAGCTGCCAGCTGGCGTCAAGGGTCCTCGCAGTTCCTTGGATGCCTTTGGTCCAGATGTTCATGGCAGCGTTTTTTTGGAGGATCTACATCTACTCTAAGCATCTTGAAGCACCAGTGATTCCTTCCCCAATTTCTCGGGGGGTGGTTTCGGACAAACAAATCATCCAGAACGGTGTTATCTTTAGATGTGGGATCTACCATCAAGCGAAGAACAAATGGTTGCTGGGAAACTCACATTTCTTTGGGTGCCATGGGGAAGAGTTTTTTCATATCTGTTTAATGATTGTTCACCAACTATTTTAAACATGAAAAAGACCTGCCAATAAGTTTGATATATATTATGGTTGTCAGCAATGATATACATATTACTTATTTTTGGGTACTCTGGTGACTTGACTTAAAGACCAGTATTGGCGCATTGGTCGCTTGCAGTGATTTTCTACGGCAGAAACCTGGATAAAACTGAGGATTCCCCTACGACTTGAGTTCTGAACTATTTTCATTGACACGATGTGTCTGCATGCAGGCATATAATATATATATATAATATAATATATATAATATATATATAATATATATATATAATATAATATATATATATACAATATATATATAATATATATATATAATATAATATATATATATAATATAATATATAATATAATATATATATATATAATATAATATATAATATATAATATATATATAATATATATATATTATATATATACACCATCTGGTTATTTAACATAGCCATGGAAAATCACCATGCTATTAATAGGTAAACCATCTATTTCTATGGGCCATAATATGTTAAATAACCAGAGGGTATTCATATTCCCCACTCCTGGAGTGGACCTTTTCTTCAGTGATAGCCCGCAACTTCCGAAGCAGCTCAGGATACCTGGAACTTCCGGCCACGCAACTCCCCTCGCCTCACAATGCTGTAGAGGTTGGACCTGGGAGAGATTCAGCGATGGTTTTCCCTACCGAAATCTGCTTGGAACGACAGATTTTGGATGCATGAAACATGGATAAATTGTAAGGACGTCACTGTTCTCCGTCACTGGAATGATGGGAATCGGATGGGAATCGGATGGGAGTAACTATCCCTCAGATTGGCTCCCTCAGACTAGTGAAATGGTGTAAAGCCAGAAGAATCCCATCTAAAGCAGCTCCCCAGAAACCATGGTTTAGTAAGACTATCCCAAAACATTCGCCCTTTTTATGGCATTGGGTTGCCCACATTACTGCATTCCATGGGGATTTTGATAAAGCTTATTGAGGTTTATTCAACACATTGGAATCATCACGTGACGGGTTTTCCCATGGGGAATTTTTTGGGGTAACCATCCGACATTCCTCAGACATTGGAAGAATCAGCGGAACAATCATTGGATAAAATACTGGTTGATTGGATTGATTGGATATTGATTGGAATGATATAATCATATATATATATATAATCTATTGGACACCATAACCAATGGGGTTAACATATATATATATACTGTATATATAGTGGTTGGTGGTTTGGACCATGGGATTTTATGACTTTCCATATGTATGGGAATAATATAATCATCCCAACTGACGAACTCATATTTTTCAGAGGGGTAGGTATACCACCGACCAGATAGTAATCATTGGAAGAATGGTAAGACTATCCCATCGGTAGACTATCCCACTGGAATAATTCTGGAAGAATGGGAATTGGATTAACTATCCCTCAGATGTGTCAATTGGACGCCTCATTATTCTAGTGATTATTCCAATAATATTATTTATATCTATTTATTGTGATTTTTCATGATTCCTCAATCATATTACCAGTAATTATCCCTCATTTATTCTATAGCTCGTAAATTTCTCTCGTATTTTCCCTAATCATTGGAACAAGTGTGGGGTTGTTGTATATATATATATATATTAAATTCCAATGATTATTGGAGACATCATAATAAACCATCGTCTGTACAGGATGGGGCCCCCGTGCCAGCTCGCGTTCAGTTGCCTCATCCTATGCTGAATTCTATGGTTTATGGTAGATATAACGAACTAGTTTTCATGGGGGGTTCTGTTATGGTTTATAAACAAACTTACCCTCTGGTAAACTAACAAAACTATGGAAAGCCACCATTATTAACGGGAAAATCAATTATAAATGGCAATTTTCCATAGCTATTTTGACATAACCAGAGGGTATAACTGGGGGGCCCCATCCTGTATTGGTATCGAAATTTCGGGTGATCTCTCCAGACGAGAGAACCTTCGCGTCGAGGTCAACCGGGAAGTTCTTGGTGAGCCAGAGACGTCCGAGGAGGTCGTCCCACAAGAGTGGGGGTAGCATATGGGTACCAAATATATCCATAAATATAATGTAGAATCTTACTATAGTGTAGAATTTTCCATATATATATATATTTATATACATATTTATATACATATTGTATATATTTATATACATACATACATACATACATACATACATACATACATACATACATACATACATACATACATACATACATACATACATACATACATACATACATACATACATACATACATACATACATACATACATACATACATACATACATACATACATACACATACATACATACATACATACATACATACATACATACATACATACATACATACATACATACATACATACATACATACATATTTACATATTATATATATATGTATGTATATGTATAATATATATATATATATGTATATGTATATGTATATGTATATATGTATATATGGATGTATACGTATATATATACGTATATATATATATGTATCGTATATATATATATATACATTGGGGGGTAATCCCTTCCCCCTAATACTACCCCCCCCCAAATAATAAACACCTCGGGTAGTTTCAATTATTAGGGGGTATTTATCATTAGGGTTCCCCCTAATACTACATTTAAAACCCTGATATAAAAAACTATTTTTCCCCAACAGCAAAACTGTGCTATGCGGTCTTTAGCCCAGATTAGCTCCGGTGCGATCCGGCGCAGCTTCAACGCCAGGTTCCGGACAGGGTTCCGGAGGGTTCCGGTGCAGATACTTGGTTAGGTTCTAGAGGGTTTTGGTGCAGGTACCTGGTGAGGTTCCGGAACTTTCCGGTGCAGCTACCTGATGAGGTTCCGGAGGGTCTAGGTGAAGATGCGTGGTGACTTTCCGGAGGGTTCCTGGGCAGATATCTTGTGAGTTTCCGGAAGGTTCCGGTGCAGAGACCTTATTAGCTCCGGACGGTTTTGGCGGAGAAGATGCTTGATGAGGTTCTGGAGGGTTCCGGTGCAGATACCTTGTGAGGTTCCGGAGGGTTCTGGTGCAGATGCTTTGTGAAATTCCAAAGGGCTCCGATGTTCTTTATGGCACAAGCACTTAATTTATATGGCATAAACGCTTAATTTTCATGGCATAAGCACTTTTTTATGGCAAAAACGCAGAAACTTTCAAGCTGTTGGGGATAGCACCTGAATTTATTTTTATTTTTTTGGGGGGTTTGGTAATGGGGGGAAGGGATTACAATAATTATGACAATTTTTGACCCATATGACGCCATGCGAAAAATATGTGGTCAAAATTTTCCAGAAAAATTGAGGAAGACTGAAATTCTATTGGTGAGTAAGCTGTATGAAGCATCATTTTTTTTGCACCCCAAGTTATTCATTTGGCGCTCTAATGGGCAGCTAGAGTGTTCTAGGAAAATCTTGTAAGGCCATAGACTTTAATAGATGGCTACTTTTTAGTGTAGAGAAGAATTTTGTTTCTCTTCATGAAATAGGGATAAATAGGGTATATACTTGTTATGCATATTTAATTCTGAGATATTTGTCACCCAACAACCCGGACTGATTTTCATTGAGATTGGCGCTGCATCTTGACGCCTTTCCAGGTCGAGGTGGCTGGCTTGCTGGGATACTTTGGAACAAGGTATGAACTGCAGGCGCCCAAAATGTCATGAGATTTTCTGGCCCGCCAGATTTGAGTTTTTTTTTCCCAGCCATGGCGACACCAATTTGTGTGATTTTTTCGCGGGAAACATGAAGAGATCCACCAGAATTCATCAGCTTTTCTGTGTTTGTTCGGGTAGAAGGGAGCGTATGAAGACTGGTCAAGATTGCAGGGGGACAGCCGATTGGCATCTCGATCCCCTTTTGATGCCCAAATCATCAAAATCCACCAGCCAGTCGACCAGTTTTTACTCCAGAGTCGACCAGGTTGTAGTGTTGTACTTTTGTTAAGATGAATCCCCTGTTAGGAGAACATCAAACTGAGATAATTCTGGGGTGTCCTGCCATTTCCCGGTCATTTCACCGCCCATTTCGGCGTCGCAGGCAGAATTGAGTGACACTTTGTGGGAGCTACTGATGGGGCATGACTTCCTGGAGGTGCCATCCTCGAGTTTTTCGGGATTTTCATGAATCATCCAACATGGGAATCGATTTGTACTGGAAATTGGGTGTGTCTCTTAAGTTTTGGGCATAGCATGGCATAGCTACTCCCCATCAAATTGCCGTCCATTATTGAGGGAAATGATGATTCAGCAGTGGAACAGGATATTCCTGAGTGCAGCACACCACACTCAGCAGGGCGATGAACAGAAAAAATGAGTGAATCAAGATTCACAAGATGAAAGTAATGATCATCCAAAAACATTTGACGTATTATTTGTTCCACTATTTTTCTAGGGCCTTGGTTCCTACACGTGGTACACGATTATCTACTACGTATACGCAATAAAAAACATGGAATCTGATGTGTGTAAATGCACAATTTCATCGTATTTTGGGACTTGAAATCATCCCAGGGTCTTCCCTGGGACGGTCTCCTTGCTCCGTAGGCATCCTTACGAGTCGGCACAGAGCATCGTTGGTCGGGGAGCATAGGCGTTTGGGGTGGCCGAGCTCTTCCTACAGCAACTTCACCAGTAACTTCACCGGGACATCACCGAACCAAATATGGAGGTTTGTAGCTGGAAAAATCCTCGAACTAAATCTTCAATGTTCCACAGCTATGTTCAACTACCAGGGGGCAATCATCGGTTTATGAAGAATATGAAAGTGATTTTAAATCATTCCACCTAGCTAAATTGGATGATGAATCATTCTACCCTGGCCCAGCTGATCCAGCCCTTTTTTCTAAATTACCCAACAAAAATCATCAAATTTTCCAGAATGCCACAGTTTTACACCTGCTGGAAGATCTCGATGTTGAGAGCTGCGGAGGATTTTTTTTTTTTTTTTTCGGTAATGATATAGCATAGCTCTGGGTGTAGGTGATACTTTTGGTGACATCCCCCGAAAGACCTTTCAAATCTTTCATTTGCGGTCAGGGTGCGTTTTTTTTTTCTTTGCACCTTTTAAAGCTGCCGCACACACGCACACACACACACAACCGCCGGAACGGGAACGGATGCTGGGCCTTGAAACGATCCAAAACACCTGCGAGTTCATCCCAAGAAAAACTTCATGAAAGATGCAGAGAATTTCCCAGCCTCAGGGGCTACTTGGATGTCTTGCTATGGTAAGTCCCTCCAACAAACCCTCCCATTGAGCAGAAATCTGGGTCATTTTCTATCATCCTAAACAGAGGTATACCCAACAACAAACTCCGTATCGGAGATGGTTTATCAATTTGCTGAAAATAATTAGGCCATATTAGGCCATATCTATCATTATCTATCCATATCTAAAATTGTTCCAGCATTGTACTGTATACTGTATACCCCTAGAATAATCCTATACTCACCAACATTCACCATATATATGTAATCCATATTGAAGCCAGCGGCCAAGGTCAGCCTGGACGCGTTGGTCCAGGGCGGAAGGCCTAACAGTGCCACTACCAGCATCCTTGATGCTTGGCGAAATGTGGGGTTGGTAGCCGGTGGGGATGATTCCAGCATTTTGATGGGATTGCCCAAGATTCAATCCGAAGATCATTTATGACATTGCTTGGCACCAAGATTACCCAACATACATGTCCATTCCCCATTGGCTGGTTGATTATCAGTGGGCTTGCTCCCATTTTCACGACGGGGAAAATGATGAGAAATGTTATCCAAACTGGCCGATCTATGCCGGACGTGATTGGTGAGAAAGCTATCCCTTGCGACCACGGAGCTCATGGTGAGAATGCCATGAAGATGGGGATCTGTTTCACAGGAAAATTGATACTCGTCAAGCGGGAAGATTTCGCACGCGAAATCAGAAGACCCTCGATTTCGCACGTTCCCGTTTAGTCCAGCACCACGGGACATTTCCACTATTTTTGAAGACCAAAACTGCAGACGGTGCAGTTCCACTGAATCAGGTGGTGGCCAGAACTATCCCAACTTCCCAGGGCAGTCATTTTTTTTTTGGATAGTTACAGGAACATACAAAAAATATCAAAAAAACCGAAGTCCACCAGCCTCGAAAATCAAGGGGCGTCAATATTCACCATCCATGGATTGATTACGGGGAAATCTTCACCGGAAATGTGGTCAAACACCACCAATTCTAGAGGATTTCCCACAGATTTCCCCAGCAAAATGTCGTGGTTGTCAATCAAAGCTACTAATCCCAGGGCTCGCACGGCGAGTGCGGAAGCTCTTGGACCGACCGCGGTGAAAGTCAGTGAAAGCCTCAGTTGGTTTTTCAGGGGCGCCTCAGTGATGTTTCTGAGCATTTCTTAGACCAAAAATGGGGGTTTCCTAAAATGGGGGTACCGGGGTACCCCCAAATCATCCCAAATCATCCCAAATCATCCATTCTAATAGGATTTTCCATAAGCCATCCATTCTCCATCCATCGTGCGTCGACTTAGCTGTCAGACAGGGGGCCTTAGTCCATTGATTTCATACCTTTTTTCCAATTTTGATGGGGAAATATTTAGAAAAACACATCAAAACACAATTATTTCCAAGTATGATGCATATATATATATGATATCGATTTCTCGAATTGATATCCACTTGTGATGTGACATTCAATTTTTTCCGCACCTGTAAGGTGAGGGTTGTTAGATTTTATGTTAGCTGGCCTGCCTTCCTCCTCCTCCTTCCTCCGCCGGACCTCAACTGCAAGCTCTTGATCGCAGTGTGCCCAGCTGGGCCTGAACAGCAACCTCTGGATCAAAGTGATTCCGGCCGGACATCAACTGCAAGCTCCGGATCAAGGTCTTCCCCACCGGACCTACACCGCGAGCTCTGGATCAGAGTGTCCCCAACCGGACCTCAACCACAAAGTATCTCTGAAGATATACCAGATTGAACGCCAGAAAGAATGTCAGAATAGATGCTAGATAGAATGCCAGAATAGAATGTCAGATAGAATGCCAGATAGCACGCCATCACGTATGCCAGAACATATGGCACAAAATGCCAGATAGAATGCCAGAGAAAATGTCAGTATAGATGCCACACAGGATGCCAGATAGGATGTCAGAATAGATGCCAGATAGACTGCCAGAATAGAATGTCAGATAGAATGCCAGAATAGAATGTCAGACAATTATTCCATATATATATATATACACCCAGATGATATGTCAGAAACTATGACAAATAAGTGTCAGGGTGGGGATCGCTCGAAGTAAAGTCATTTTTTCTGAGGGGGCTTCAAAGATGAGCCGTTTTTCAAGAATGGTTTGGTCTGGAAAGAATGTACCCTCCATTCCAATGGAGTCTCTTCGCCCGGTCAAGATCCAAATGCACCTTCATTTTCATACCGATTCATACCCAAACGAGTAGAATGGATGACATTGAACAGTTTTGGTCGATTTATGGAGTAACCATGGATAACCCGGCGTGTCACCTAGTCTGAGACGGTAAAAAATCGTTTCTGACCTGGAGAGAAACCCGAGAAACGCTGGGATATGATGGGATATGGGTACTGTATAGGGTCACACTTACCCCCAAAAGGTGCACTTCATTCTCAAGGCGGCACACATTTTTATTTTCGATCCTTGGGTCTTAACCTCATGACTCAGAATTGCTCTCTTTAGCATCCAATGGCGCCGTGAGCGCGTTAGGTTGGCCTCCCTTCGATCGAGTGCCGGGCATCAACAGTTGCTTGGTGAAATGGATTGGAAGAGTGTTGAAGAGTCTCAGAGTGAAAATTGTGAATAGATTTGGGTCCTCAGAATTTTGACCCGCAAACAAATTCTGCAATTTTCCATGCATTGGGATCATTTTTTCAGTGACCTCCAATCTAGAGTTCTTGTATCGCGGTGGGACGCCCTAGGCCTCGAGTACGTCATTCGCGCTGAGCCTTTGTTGGCTGAAGATGGCAGCAGTGCCTGGGTCCTCGGTTCGCTCGCTTCGCGAAGCGTCTCCAAGTCCTTGGAGTCCAGTGGGAACCAGGGCGGGCGGTTTTTGGGCTGTTCAGTCGTAGCAGATGTAGCTGTTGTTGGTTCCCCAGTCCGAAAAACCATGAGAAAAAGCTGGTGGTGAACCAATATTATGATGGTCCCGAAACATCAGATTTTTCGGTGTGAAACGATTGTTTTTGTTCTGCATGATGGTCCCAGATCTCTCTTGATTTGGATCTCCAAAGTTGATGAAAACAATACCAGCTCCCAACGGCGACATACACTTCACTTCACACAAACATATGAAAATACATTTGTAATACGAGATGTAGTGGATTACATGGTAGTATGTAAGAGGCAAAATGGAATGTGTGGTATATACAATGTATGCACCCAACAAGATAGTGCGAATGCTGAATGCTTGCCATGCGTAGTGTGCAAGTATATGTATATTATACAATATGAGATGTGCGCGCAATACATATTGTGACTGCAAACTGTAACATGCAGTGCGTAACATGCAATATGTGTTATGTGATATATGTACATAGTATGTGATTGATGTGATCCATCATGTTTGTAGTATGTATGAGTAATTTCACATGCACATGTAGTTTACATACATATACACATCTACGAGATATGATATAACCATGTTTGGCATATGCATATATATATACGCATATATATATATAGTTGCTATATATATATATGTACATACTATATATATATATGTATGTATATATATATATCTTATATATATATATATCTTATATATATATATGTATATCTTATGTATAGATATATATATTGTATCATTATATATCTTATACATGTAATTATGTATGTATCTCTCTCTCTATGTATATATATATTTATACATATATATATATTTATATATTATATATATATATTATGTACGTACATGGATACAGTTAGTACTTATGAATAGCCCCATTGATACGAGATCCAGTTTGCCTTTTCCCATTCGCAGGGGCAGAGTTTGGCAGAGACAGTGATTTGCTTCAAGCACGAGCCCGGAGCCTGTGGAGTTCCGTTTCTTCGTTGGTTCAGAAGAGTCCCACTTATTGGGCTTCACATTGGGCTTCAAGATTTTGGATCAGTTTTTTTGAGTCAACCCTCCATTGAATTCATTGGAGGCTTCAAAACACTAAACTTACTGCTGCGTTTTACGCAGGGAATTTTTCGGGAATGATCCATTTCAATCCATTTCATCACTAGTAAGTTTATCATCCCAGCAACCCCCAGCAACCCCCAGCAACCCCCAGCAACCCATCCAGCCACCCTACGTGTTTTACGCACAAAACAAGATCCGCTGAGGCCACGCAAGCAGGATGGACAAATCATCAGCACGCCCCAGGCCAAAAATGGAAGCCACGAACCATGAGATCCAAGACTAAACCAGTGTTGACATTGGGTATGTGATATCAGAACGGGATGATATGGATTATTTCTATTATATTTCTATCATTTTGTATATGTAGATATAATTTAGAGTATAATTTAGATACATAATTATAACATACTATAACATAACTGTTTGTATATGCGGGTAATCTAACATAGTCATGGAAAATTGCAATTCTGTTGTCTGCTCTGGGCTGCCTCCCTTTTGCTTGTCTCGGTGAAGTAGCCCATCCCCCAACCAGAGTTGAGCTCCACTTACAGTGCCTGCGAACAAAACAACAGTGAACAAAATAAACCATGAAGAAATGTGATTTTACCAACCCCAAATTTTGATTTTCCCACCAAACGTGTGGAATACAACTGTCAAACACGTAGAATTAACCACCAGAAATGTAGATTTACCGACCGAACATGTGGACATTTCACTAAATCTAACCAACAGGTGGATACAAACACCAGAAATTTGGATTTGCCTTAAACCAAATTGGGATTTATCACCAAAAAAACACTGGAAACCACCTGCAACAACAACATGAGGTGCTTTGCTCTAGATCGAAGTAAACCCACTGAAAAACATGAAGGGGAAGGGTATAGGGAATGTCCGACTGTCCTGACAAATTGAAGATATTTTTTTTGGAGTCTCATAACGTTTGGAAACACATTTTTTGGATTACTAGACCAGGCCAACCAAGGGGGGGCATCCAAAAATGGGAGAATCAACTGAATGGAAGTCATCATTGAGCCGTGGGAGCCTCCAAAATTGGAGGCAGTCATTGCTCCATTGCCATGTTTGAGAGGTATAGTACCATGACGGTAACTGCGGGAATGTATATAAAGTTTGAATCGTTTGATCCATTTTTTCCCAAGCAGATCACCCTGCCGCCCAATTGCCCAACGGCCCCCAATTGCCCAACGGGGTCGCAGAGGGGATGGTGCCCAAGGGCGCACCAAACAATTGCTGAAGGAATGTGCGTGGCTGCAGCCTGAAGGAATGTGCGCCACGGCAATTTCAGTGCACCTGTCAAAAGTTTCCGCTTTGCATGCGAGGATTTTTGGGCACACTTTAGTCAATCTTATTCATACATAAAAAAAGTATAGTACTACTTACATGTATTGGAACGGAGTGAAGCCTATGGAGTGGTGTCAAGAGCCATCAGCCATTTGCGAAGCTAACATCCCTGGCCGCTCCCACCATGTCCTGAAGGGATGCACCAAGAGATGGATTGCCATTCTGTCAGACCTGTCAACACAGGGCTCCCACAGATTGTGACAGGCCTCCCGCATCGCAAGCGCTCTTGGCTGATGGATCAGTCGGGGCAATCCCGAAGCTGGTGGTGACAGCTCTGCGCTTCACATGACGACATGTGCAAGTCCGGTGCGAAGACTTTTGCACATGACTTGATACGTCACCGCAGAGACCCGTCCTCAAAAAACTATTTGGGGTCAATTCTGGTGTAGTGTAATATTTTTTGTTGTAAATCATCTACACATGGGCAATTTGCTTAGTTGTTTTATTATAAATCAGCAGAATGTATATTTAAACATACTATATACACACAAACATACCAAAAAGAATATGGATGTGTATATTTACCTGAAACATGAATAGGTAGATAGAAATTTCCACAGGCCCATGTCATGCATTGGCTTTACAATTTCAACTTGGACATAGATTGAGGGAAGCTCCCCAGTTTGACACATCATCGGACATCGAACAGTGTTTAAACATGTATATAATTTACATCCCACATCCTGTTGATAAAATATATAAAACAGTGTTTTAACATGTACCATCTGGTAATTTAACATAGCCATGGAAAATGGCCCATTTATAGATGATTTTCCCATTAAAACCTCCATTTATAAGGGATTTTCCATGGCTATGTTAAATAACCAGATGGTAATATAATATCCCACATCCTTTTTTAAAATATCTAAAAGCTGCGAGATTAGTAGGAGAACATCCGATTGCTTCCGAGCAAAAGGGTCTTTTGAAAAGGTTCATGGCCGCGCGCCGCGCCAGTTTCAGCGCCTGCTGGACGTGAAAGAAATGTCCACCCTGAAGCGTTTGGCAAGCTGTTTCGAGGCGAGGCGGGGGGAGGTCGTTACCAGTTACAGCCAATTCCTGAACATATGGGTATGGGTCAATACCTATAGATACATTTTTAATGGGATGAACATCCATTTACCAGCTATTTTGGGGTTCACTAGGTACCAGGGTTTTGACTCATAGCCATATATGGAAAAAAGAGGGTTGAAACCACTGGAAGGTGGGTGAGATTTGTTGATTTCTTCTTGCAGAATGATGATATCCTGGACTTTCCTGAAACTGATGGCTTGGCAGGACATCCGGCAGCGCGAGGGCCAGGAAGAACAAGAGACGAAGTTGCAGGCGATCAATTTCCGGGCCTGGGACGTGGGTGAGGCAGTTTGAACGCTTTGGATGAAACCTTGGATCAAACCTTGGCCATAAATGACCATAACTGGTTGGTGGTTTGGAACATGAATTTTATTTTCCCATTCAGTTGGGAATTTCATCATCCCAACTGACGAACTCCATCATTTTTCAGAGGGGTAGGTACACCACCAACCAGATAAGATCTAAGTAATATACAACACCCTGCTGAAACCGGAGTGTTATTGTGGGTTTTCTCAACTTACTGCGCCATTTCTCGACTCTTTCCAGTGGAAACGGATGGTGTTCGGTCAGTTGCTCGGACCAATTCTGTAAGCCCCAGATATTTCATGATATTTCTCATTTTGTCCTACGTATCAACATCACTTGAGATATTGGACATTCCTCTGGTAAATTAACATAGACCCTGAAACTAGCCAATTTTGAGTGGAAACTAATCTTCCAACTCCTATCTGCCAGGGTCTATGTTAATTTACTGTAGGGTATAAGAGGTTTGAAGTAATGGTTACGACTGCACCCCTGAGATCTCTGGATCCAACCAACAGCTCCGGATGAGCTCAACGGCATGTGATTGTCTATATTTTAGTTGGTTTGGCATGGATGATAGTGCATCTTTCATGTCGATCCCCCCAAAATAGCTTGGTGATGGTTGGTGATACCCATGTGACTTTCATATATATATATATATATGTTGTATGTATGTATGTATAGTTATTTCAGAGTTGAAACCATGCTACTTTGGATGGGTGCAAAACTGAGGTTCAAGGTTTTTAATGGACTTGCCATTTTTTCACATATTGTCATTAGTTCTACGTGCATCCCATATGATACTCTATATTATATCCCATGTAATATCCCTATAAACCATCATTCATTGGTTCAACCCCTATCTGTGATGGTTCAATCCCCGTTTGTGATATGTGCAAATTGGTCAAGGTAATACGAGGGATGTTAATCCCCGCATGTGTAGGGCTTTGACCATGGTTAATATACCCCTCATGAGGAAGCCAATGGGGTAGCCAATTCATAATGATCATAATGGTGAGAATATCGCTGATACATAAATTCATAACATTTCACAACCATATAATATATTGGAAACCTGAACCAATGGGGTTAACATATATATATATAGCTGGTATAAACCACGCATCTCATCTCCCATCGATATCCCAGATATCCCTGCCGCAGATCGAGATGTCGGGTCTTCTGCCATGGACCAGCTATCGTATCACAGCTCCTCGTTGCGCCGATCCAGGTTGCTGGTGAGTTGAGGAATGGCAACAAAATTTCTGATCATTTCAGCAAAGTGGAGGATGAATCATTGGAAATATGGCGGGAATTATCATGTTGATAGGATCTGATGGCTGGTTGGTGGTGACCGGAACCATGGAATTTTATGACTTTCCATTCAGTTGGGAATGTCATAAGAATGTCATAATCCCAACTGACGACCTCCATCATTTTCAGGGGGGTAGGTCAACCTCCAACCAGATGGGGACAATCCATAAGTTTGTCCAAAGATGTAGAAAAATTGGTGATTTTCTGCAAGTTATGGCCATGGAATGCCATGGAAAAAAATCATGGTGATCCACTACGAGGGATTTTCGGGTACCCAGCTTTTCAGAGAGACCCATAGTTTGCGGCCCCAGAACATCCTACACGTCCTGTCGTTTTGGTGTGAACAGAAGGGTACTCGAGCTCTGACCATCTCTGACCCACAAGCAAAGCACATGACTTTGGTAGCTGAAAATGGGGTAGTGGTATGTAGTAGTGAGGGTTCACCCCCAAGTTATGCCTATCTTTATTATCGAACTCATATTGATAATACTGCATTGATATAGAGGAAATTGATGAAGTATATTCGATTTTTCTTTGGGTATGCTTGGTCATCGAAGTTTCTTGCAATCCATGGAGAAAAATCTTCCTTCTACTGGGTCTAGTTCGCGGGTTTCCTTGAGATGTTCCTTGAACTAATCCAACGGAGACCTACAGAGACATGAAATCGGATGTTTCACAGACTGGTTTGTCCCACCATTTGTTGTACAGTTTCGACATTCTTTGCATCCAGATTTATCTTTGGCACCACTTACTTGTTCCAACAGATATCCTTTTGGAATGGATTGTCGATGAAATAGGCAGGGTACCTCCCATTTTCCACCATGGTGCAATGATAGATGCTTTTCCGCAAAGACTTTGTGAGTTGTCAAGTTGTCATGCTTCTTCGGTCCTCTAATTTCCCTTTTTTATTTGACTTTGTCTGTTAGTCACTTGAACGTCACGTCACGTCGGTTGGAGTGGCTCATCCAGAGGTTTCTCATCCACCGGGGGGATCCAAACGGTCGTCACGAAATGGATCTGTTAGTGGTCGTCACTCCAAGGTGGCAGCGCGCTACCCAGCAGGAGCAGGTTTCAGTGGGGATGTCATGGAGAAACTATGATCAAATCACATGAAGTCTGGGATATGAAATCTGGGACATAAAATGGACATAATATAGAGCAAGATATGGGATATATATATATATATGTTGGGATATATAACCACCAATATGATGGCTGTGAAAATGGGACCCCCTAGCTGCCTCACCCTGGGGGCTGACCCGAAAAAAATCTGAGACAAGAAACAACTTCGGTGATGCTTCAAAATGATGTTGACCTCATATTTTCGATATAAAATCGATATTTTCTCCGACTTTCCTATCATTTCTTATCTATTTTGGGATTGCTATACATCAGTGGGTCTTCCACCTGGATGCGACTGGGGATTCCATCCATTGGGACATGTTTTTTTTTTTCCAGCGCTGGTGGGCGCCGGCGCCAGTGCCAGAACTCCCATGACTGGGGATGGTTTCAATCCGACCCATTTATATAATCATAATCAAAGGGAGTTGGGAAGCAATCTTCCGAGTTACGGATGAAGTGTAGTGCAGTAACAATACATCACATAACAATGCATCACATCACAATACATGACATAACAATACATTACATTGTAATACATCACATATCAATTCATCACATAACAATACATCACATAACAATACATGACATAACAATATAACAATACATCACATAACAATACATCACATCACAATACATCACATCACAATACATCACATGACAATACATCACATAACAATACTGCTGCAAAACGCATTGTAATTGCTGCATGAACGTTGCATGGGACTCGTGTTGGGGTGGAAGCCAGAGCACGAAACCGTGTGTTTTTCCGTACAAAGTGGCTGCAGGCGGCAAAGGGTACCTCGTGAGTGCGGTGGTTGCGGCTGGGGTCGTTCCGGGCGTAATGGGTTCCTCCTCTGTGTTCTGCAACGAGTGGTTGTTCCTGTGTGTGTAGGTCTATTCGCTTGTTGAATCTCTGGTCGCAGATCGCAGTGTAATGGCTGCATGATTGTTGTCATGTTCTGCTGCCATGTGCGTAGGAGATGCGGATTAGCCACGTGATGCTGCTCAACGCATTGTAATGGCTGTGCAAAGTAGTACTGGGACGTGCTTTGTGCAAGCTTTACAGTACAAAGTAGTACTGGGGAGTGCTTTGTGCAAGCTTTGTAGTGCAAAGTAGTATGAGGACGTGCTTTGTACAAGCTTTGTACTACAAGGTAGAACTGGGAAGTCCTTTTTGCGAGCTTTGTGGTGCAAAGTAGTACTGGAAAGTGCTTGGTGCGAGCTTTATAATGCACAGTAGTACTGGGAAGTACTTTGTGCAAGCTTTGTAGTACAAAGCAGTACTGGGACGTACTGCGTGCAAGTTTTATTGTGCAAAGTAGTAGTGGGGAGTACTTTGTACAAGCTTTGTAGTTCAAGGTCGTACTGGGACGTGCTTTGTGCAAGCCTTGTGGTACAAAGTAGTAGTACTGGGAAGTACTTTGTGCAAGCTTTGTGGTACAAAGTAGTACTTGGAGGTGCTTTGTGCAAGCCTTGTAGTACAAAGTAGTACTGGGAAGTATTTTGTGCAAGCTTTGTAGCACAAAGTTGTCAAAAGTAGTACTGGGAAGTCCTTTTTGCGAGCTTTGTAGTGCAAAGTAGTATGGGACGTGCTTTGTGCAACCTTTTTAGTACAAAGGAGTACTGTGGAGTACTTTGTGCAAGCTTTGTAGTACAAAGTAGTGCTGTGGGAAGTACTTTGTGCAAGATTTTAGTACAAAGTAGTACTGGGAAGTATTTCGTTCAAGCTTTGTAGTACAAAGTAGAACTGGGAAGTGCTTTGTGCAAGCTTTGTAGTACAAAGAAGTGCTGGGAAGTGCTTTGTTTAATATTTGTAGTACAAAGTAGTACTGGGAAGCACTTTGTGCAAGCTTTGTGGTAAGAAGTAGTACTGGGAAGTACTTTGTGCAAGCTTTGTAGTACAAAGTAGTGCTGGGACGTACTTTGTGCAAGCTGTGTAGTACACAGTAGTGCTGGGATGTGCTTTGTGCAAGCTTTGTAGTACAAAGTAGTACCGGGGAGTGCTTTGTGCAAGCTTTGTAGCACAAAGTAGAACTGGGATGCGCTTTGTGCATGCTTTGTAGTACAACGTATTTTGCAAAGGCTTTTTTCTGTGTATATAAATGCATTTGTGTCTCAAGCTTCTGTGTTGAAAAGCGTTCTGCACGCAATGTTTTTTTGTGCAGAGATGGAGGTCGCTGACAGTAAGAGCTTTCTGGCGCGCAGAAGAGCTGAGATGAGAGTTGAGAAGAGCTTCGAGGAGATGAGAAAGGTTGATCAGTGCTCGGATGAGAGCAGTTGAGAAGAACTTACTTAGATGACATTTGAGAAGAGATGGGATGAGATGAGAAGAGCTGAGATGAGGTGAGATGAGGTGAGAAGAAATGAGATGAGATGAAGTGCGAAGTGTGTGCGGGGTGTGAAGAGTGCAGTCTGAAGTGTGAAGAAAGTGTTCGCTTGGCGTTGCGTTGCAAAGTGGCGCACGCAGGTCATGTTCTTGGACAGCAACAGCGCAACAGGTTCCCACAAAGCACGCAAGGGCCTAGCTGGCGCACGGCGCATGCAAGTTCTATAGGTGAGAAAACTCTTACAGGCAACTTCCGCCCCGCCTCGTGCGGGTACTACTGGTATTATATGATATCTACACATGTTGTTGACCTGGGGATGGTGACTATGGCGTTGGGTGAATCAGCCATTAAAAATACACCATTTTCCCATCTCATGAAACACTAGTTGGTTGATAGCTTCCCCTAGTATCGGTTAGCCCCTAATCCCCACTAAACCATCCCCATTTCAGAACCAATCAACCATCAATCATCAGTTCTCAGATCTTTCATACCATAAGAGAAAAATCATGGCTAAATCCCCATTCAATAACCAATCAACGGGCTATCCCCCATCCGACATTCGTACCATTTTCGGTCGCCGCTAGGCTTCTATCCCCGCAGCACTATGGAGGCGGACCCAAGGGGAGCAAGGATTTAAACATATGATCTCGCACACCCTGTATAATTATATGTATATATTTATCTGCCACAATTATTGTAAACTTGACCATATTCAGTATATTTATAGTATTTTATATATATATACATGTATATCTATCATATTCTTGAACATATTTGTACAGGTATTTGTATAAACACGTTTGGAATATGTTTATAAAGAAACATAGACCCGAATGAGTTTTTAACGCCGACATTTGTTGCCAATTCGATTGAAATTCACCAATCCTTTTCTGAAGGGATCCTTTCACCTTTTTGGCCGTTGAGATGCTATCCCCGAGCTCACTATTTAGCTCACTGTCCAAAAATTGGATGGGACAGAAAATTGGTTGATCTTAAGAAATTAGTTTTTTTCCAACAGTTGCCTGGTTGGTCGCTGCATTTTTGTTGTCATTTGTCCATCCAAAAGAGACTCGGTGATACCCACATATCCTCACGATTCCGAGGCGAAATCTGCGGAGGGCATCGGCTTGATGGTAGGGAACAGTTTGACCACTCAGGTGCGGTTCCAGAGATCAACGCCCTCGGTGGTCAAGGGGATATTTGCCCGTGAAGCGCCGGCCAGGTCGAAACGCCCGGAGGGCCAAATACACCTTCAGCTCCGAGACAGGTGCAGTTCTTCGGCAACTGAAGAAATCACGGGAGAAACTATGACTTATTGTTATTTTATATAACTAAGATAATGTTAACATTTATTGTTCTTGTTCTTTTTTCCTTTTTATCATGATTAATTAATAGTGTCATTATGATTTCATGGTGGTACATTTGGTTTGGGATTGACAAGTTGGTTGATGATACAGCCTGCGGATGCCTGCGGTCCCACGGTGGCTCGGTGATGTGTTTGACGGTGCTGTCGCGCCTTGACTCCTTGCTGTCAACAGTTTTGATTCCTTAATCAACATAGATATTTTGATGGATATGGACTCATCGATTACATTGATAATACTATATATATATTAATAGATCAATAGATCAATAGGTCGAGTATTGGATCATTTAATCGATAACTTATTGTTTGTATATATATATATAATGTAATAGAATGATAGATAATATCAAATCAACATGGACACTTTAATAGATTACTGTAACCAAAATCGAACCGCTCGCCCCGGCTCCAGAGTTTAGGGGAAATCTGAAGCGGAAACCATGGAATTTCCCATGAAACCTGGGGCTTTCCGGTTTCAATTATATAAACCAATCCATTGAACAATGAGTAGGTACATGATGAAAAACAGGTATATCACACCCGCCATCCTATTTTTCAGGACATGACTGGGCTGGAAGATTGAAATCCCCAACGCTCTTATTGGGCTTTGATGTATACAGTCTCGCAGATAGGCAACTGCCAACTGCCGCTGTTTCATTCTTTGGGGGATGTTCCGACTTTTACAAAACTCCTTGGTTGTAGCAAAAAGTATCAGCGCCAAGCCCAGTTTTAGAAGTTTCTGGATCCATGTTCCATCATGTCACCCTGAAATTTAGGGATACCCTCTGGTAAACATACAAAAAACTATAGAAAATCACCATGTTGAATAGGTAAACTATCTATAAATAGGCCATTTTCCATAGCTATGTTAGTTTACCAGAGGGTAAAATTTGCTCCAGGATCACTTGTCCTTCCCCAAAGCACATCTCAGGATTCACCACCCCAAAGCTTTTCGAGGCGACCGTGCTGTCAGGTCGGCTGGCAGGATTTCCGACACGACCTCACTGAGGTTTTCGACGGGGCACTGGGCACTGGGAAATGCTGGAGATTGCTGGAGAATCCCCCCAGACATTGCTCGATTCGATGATGAAAAACCAGCGAGAAAATCCACTGTAAGTGGGAAAAGACGATGCTACTTTACGCCAGTTTTTTTGAAAACCTTGATGCTGAAAATCACCTCTTGTCTTTCCACACCGTGAGAGGGCATTTTCAAAATTTCGAGCGAACTTTTTTTTGGAGCGTTTAAAGATGTTTAAAGCCAAGAAGTGATCAGCGAATGACATTGAATCCGCCAAGTACCCTCTGGTAATTTAACATTAACATACGTAGCTATTGAAAATACCCCAGTTATAGTGAGTTTTCCCATAAAAAAATGGTGGTTTTCCATAGTTATGTTAGTTTATCAGAGGGTAAACCAAATGATGGTTTGTTGATCCAGAGTTGACACAGTTTCGCGGTTTCCCAACGGCCCAAGTTGGGACATAAATCCATCATTTTTTGGACAGTTTGAGACTCCGGAACCATACATTTTGATGACAACAATGATGATGCATATTTATAACACATAATGAATAATGAATAATGAACAACAGCAACAACAACAACAACACCAACAACGATAATGAATATGATAATGATAATAATAGTAATAGTAATAGTAATAGTAATAGGAATAGTAATATTAATATTAATAGTAATAGTAATAGTAATATTAATAGTAATAGTAATAGTAATAGCAATAGTAATAGTAATAATAACAATATCACAGAGTAAAACTGGTAACACAATATCATATATATATATATAACGTATTCAATCCATTCTGGACCTTATCGGAGCAAAAACCCGCACCACGCGGCTCAAAAGCAGGAATTGGAGACCTTAATTGTCGGGCTAACGGGACGGTGAGATTTACTGACAAAATTGGTGAAAGAAATGCATGTATTTGTGAGGCCACGCGGCCACCCCAGTTGGATTTGGGTCTAACTTAGTCTAACTTAGTCTAACTTAGTCTAACTCTTAGAGCCATTTCCTTGGTGTTTCGTCTTGAGCTGTTGAGAAACATCCAGGATCATCCAGGTTTCTTCTTGGACAAGTCAAGACTCCAACCGATGTCCTTTTCCCACCGGTTGATGCATTTTTTAAGAGGCTTCCCTTTTATTCAACAACCAATAGGTTGATGATAAATAAATCAATCAATCAATCAATAAATAAATAAATTCATAAATAAATAAATAAATAAATAAATAAATAGATAAATAAATAAATAATATATATATATTTAAAATAGTATACTAAACCCAGCACTCTATTTTTCGCGTCAGGATGAGATGTTTCGGGAGGATCAGCGGGCTGTCCTGCTGAACATCGAGGATGGAGTACGGTGACCTTTTGGGTGCCTTTTTTGGTTCACGCGGTTTTAAAGGCTGGCTCAAGTTACTAGCCGTAAATGAAAAGTACTTGGATGTTCAACCTACAAGTAGGTATTAGTAGCGAGTTTGGAACCATGGTAAGGTTTTTTGCATCCAAAGCCAAGACTCGCACGTCATGATCTCAGATGCCTGCTAAGGGTCATCGGCTGTGGCAGCGTCAATGTCCAGGGTGATCTCCACCTGAGGAAATTAAAAAACCCCCGTCAATTAGATTTAGTATTGCAGGTTGCCTTTTTGTACCGGGTATAGTCCATTCACCGTAAAACGATAAGGAAGAAAAAAAACGATAACGCTAAGTATTATATATACATATATATATATATATACATGCATGTGTGTATACATATATATATATATATGTATACATATGTAATGTGAATATATGTGTCAACATATGTTACCATCATGAATAAATGTGTCCCACAAATGGGGAGAATTTACGTGACACAAAACGATAACAAAACGATAACAAAAACGATAACAAAATTAACCCGAAAGCCATCTTCAAACACCATGGCCCATTGATAAAAAAAAGGTCCGCTTCTAAACACGTTGTGGCTACATGTGGCTACGGTGAGTTTGCTCCAAGAAGCGTTTTTGCAGCAACGGTATGAATGCCCGAGGTCAATGGAAGCTGAACGAATGATTTTTTGGATGGCGGCCGCATGTGCATAAACCTCTTTGATTGTGATAAGTGCAGATAGCCTGCAAAACGATAAGGAAGAAAAAAAAACGATAAGGTGAAAGCGGCATAAGCAAATTTATACGTTTTTTTTTTATCACCTCACCTGTCTTCTGGCCCGTTTCGAGTGCTACAGGACCGCAAGGACTACGTCTTGGAATGCCGCGCTTGTGCTCCCACTTGGGCGCACTATGATCCAGAGGCCCTCTTTGATCAACGGGCGCAAAATGTTGAAGCGACCACAAATTGGAGCGCTGAAGAATTCAAAGTCTAGATCATTTGACTGGTAATTTAAAATAGCAATGGAAGCCATGGATCATTTATAGTAAAAATGATGATTCACTGTTCTTATTCTCAAAACTGGTGATGTTCCATAGCAAACGGTTCAGTTTTACCAGAGGGGAACGTTGTGAAAAAAATGACCAAAGTTTTCATAACGGTTTTCTGAGGATACCAAATTTCATGATGTCCAGAGTGAGTGGAGTACTTGATGTTTTTTGATTGCTTCTAAAGAAGAGCAACCTTTGATTTCGCCACCAAAAAAGCATTGACATGCAATCTGATTGGATCGCAAAACATCTGAGTCCAAATCTCATATTGCACCATGAAAAAATTGGAAACTTGGAAACATGTTTAAGCTATATAGCTTCAACATGTTTCAAGGGCTGTGCCATGGTCAAACAATGGATTTGATTCAGCGTATTCCTTGGGAGATGTTGAAGTTCACTCCAGAATAAGGGTGACTGATACGGCCTGGTTGGTGGTTTGAACCATTGTTTATTTTTCCATATATTGGGAATTTCATCATCCCAACTGACGAACTCACTCCATCATTTTTCAGAGGGGTAGGTCAAAAACCACCAACCAGTATTTATTATTAACCATATAATAACCATTAATATTAACCATTATTAACCATATATTAATACCATTAACCATCCATTAACCATCATTAACCATCATTAACCATCATTAACCTTCATTAACCATCATTAACCATTATTAACCATTATGTTGTTTGTACATACCACTGTATATACTCATATGTTCACCCTATATCGTCGTGTGCATGGCTCAAGAAACAAGCGCGCTAATCGTGTCTGTTTGTGGTTGAGACACCTGTAAAACAGGTTATCAGCCGTAAGCTAACTTCTCCTTTGGTAGAATGTCTGCCCCCTCGGGTTCTTCCACCGAGGGCACCGGGCGCGTAGATTCCTCTGACGTTGCCATGGCCAACCCGGGGACACTACCAATAAGCAACTCGCCATTCTCGGTTGACATCAGCACCCCACCTGGATCCGATAAGTCTCGAAGCTTAAGGGAACGACGCCACTTTCCATATTTGAGTAACGCAGTTGTGCCTTCTCATATTGGATTTAATCACCGTGGTTTTGTCCCCCAAGCCGCTCGGGAGGGTGGGCCACCGACTCGCCAATTGAATCAGATGAATATTCATAATACGTTTCAGCACAATGTTCATGTTGACAATCCTCAAGTGAATTTTGTCGAGCAGAATTTGCACCTTCATGCACATGATCCTGCTATGACAAGCCTTGTGGAAACAACGGCCGAACTCCGTCATCGTGAAGTATTGGCCCAGGCCGAAGCCAACGCTGAGGCCGTCCACACGGCAAAGACTGAGGAATTGGTGGAAGCATTGCGAGTCCGTGAGGGCATTGAAAGTCAGAGGGCCTTAGATGCAATGATGTCAAAAGAACGAGAAGTATTGAGAATGGGAGCACAGTACAGGGAGAACTTACAGCATGAGGCGCACGAACACGTAAGGTTCCGAGAAGCTCAAATGAATGAGAAAATTCAAGCCTATCAACGTGTCATCGATGCTAACCATCGACAATCACTTTCAAGTAAGGAGCAAGAGATCCTTGAGCTGAAAAGAGCAGCTGAGGAAGAGAGAAGGATTCAGAACGACCGCATCACACAGCTTGAACACATGGTACAAGCCCAGATGCAACATAATCTGAAACTGCAAAGTATGCTCGATTCCCAATTTGCTCAGGTTCGTCCAAGCCCGATCGTTGAAACAGCCGCCATGACTATGACAGCCGGAACCCATGCACCAACGGAGATCCCAAACTTTGAGTTTGTTCCACCAACCCGCAAAGCTGCACCCGCAGTGCCTCCGACGAATGTTGCCCGACCTCCTATTCCAAGAGCACCGATTAACTTTACTTCACCGGGTACTGAAACTTATGAAAAGGATGGTATTGAGATCGTTTATCATGATCCATCATATCGAGTCCCAGTTCAAGTGAAGAAGGAGTCGGATGTTGCAAGGTCTTCCGCTGAGGAACGCCCTTCGGGAGGAGAGGCCAATAATCGACGCCGAGACAGCCATCCCATGGATAGTGTCAATTCCCCTGCACCGACCAATCAATATGCCCCGACCGAAATAGGCCCAGACGAGATGGAATACTTCGAGCCGGGGGGCGATGGTGCACCTGATGGGGACGATCCAGGGGATGGAGGGGACGGCAACGGAGGGAACGGGGGAGGTGGACCACCGTCACCGCCCTGAAGGGGATAAGAACCGTAAGGCGCCCAGAAAGAATAGGGCTGGTCCCAATCCTCCTGACGATGGTGATGATGGTGATGAAGATCCCGACGATGATGATGATGAGAAGTTCAGGCGAAGGATGATCAAGTTTCTAGGTGGTTACATTGATCCAAGGCATGAGGACAAACCCAAGGTCAAGGAAGCTGACACTATCAAGATCCCAGCATTCCCATTGGCAGAAACCTATCGCAATTGGAGAATTAAGACTAGAGAAGCAGTTGTAGCAGCATCGACCGATCCCGACAGTGCTTTCAAGTGGATTAGTGATTCTTGGAAAGAAGAACAGACCCTTGAAGCGCTCCGGAAGGTTGCGCCGTTTGCGACACTTGATGCAAAGTTACTTTCTGCACTCACTAATATCATCACTGGTGACTTCGCCCGCAAGGTAGATACCTTCAAGGAGACTGAAGCCACCGCTGGACGGATTGTAAGAGGGAGACAAGTGTTGTTCATGTTGCATGACCACTTTAGTACCAACATCAAGCACGGAGCAACCTATGCCCTTCAAGATTTGTTCAGTGTCCAATTGCGTGGGGAGAATTTGAAGTCATTCATTTCAAACTGGGACCAAGTATTGGCTGGTATCGTCCAGACTCCTGATGAAAGTGTATTGGAGACACTCTTCTACAAACAAGTGAAGAATTGTAAGGCCATCCAACATGATATGAATGAGTATCATAGAGCTGATGAAGGAACCGAAAAACGGAACTACAGTTTTCTTGTTTCTGCCGTGCGACGCCACCTTGACCGTGAGAGGTTGGAGGCAAATCGTGATCGAGTTGCCAAAGGTCTTTCGGGTGCCGGTCGTCCCTCCGCTCCTGCAGTCGAGGGCAAGACAGGTTTCATTCCCAAGGGGTATTGTGTGGCATGGAATAAGGGAGGCTGTAACAAGGACAACTGTACTTACAAGCATGAAGTCCCCAAGCCACGTGATAGAAGTCGCAAACCCAGCAAAACCAGAGGTCGCTCAAATGAACGTTCTGGTTCTCCCAGACCAAAGGGGAAAGGTAAGAAGATTTGCAAGTTTTGGAAACAGGGACGTTGCGATAGAGGAGCTGATTGCAAATTCCTTCATGAGGGTTCAGTTGGAAAGCCAAGACAAGCTACTCCTGCCCGTTCGGCCAGTAGCGATAACAAAAATAAAAAGAAGAATCCCAAGAACCCGAAAAGGAAGGGATCCCGAAGCTCTAGCCGCTCTAAGAGCCCCAAGAGCCCGAAATCCCCGAAATCTAAAGGATCCGGGGCCAGTTCATCTAAGCCGTCTCCTGCCGCAGTTTGTCTTGTTGCATCCATGCTTGCATCCGTGTCTCAGGCATTTTGTATCCCTCAACCAAGAGCATTTTGTCCATCGATTCGTTTTGATGATTCACCGGACGTATCTCATGTTAAAGTCCGAGGGAACTTGAGGCCAATTGGAAACGCAGTCACCAAGGATAAGGTTACCTTTCCGTGGGGACATCAGTTTGAAGTTGATCAACTTGCTGTGAATGATGCCGCTTTGACCGGTACCATGTTGGCAGGATCAGTTTCCAATTGTCTTCGGGGAATAGAATGCAAATGTGCCTATTTATGTGACACAGATTTTGGTTGCAATGAATGTATCCCGAAGGGAATCAAAGCCACCCCTGCGGAATGTAGAGAGGACGTGAAGGGAGCGATCAACCTCGAACTTGACTGGATTGCAGATACGGGGAGTGCTCAAGATCTTGTCAATGATAGTGAATTGCCGGATGACTATGGATACTATTCCAACAACCCCATTCGCATGATCACTGCCAATGGTGAAAGTTCGTCATCGAAACAAGGGAAAGTATTTGTTCCGAAATTAGGCAAGACCATTGACCCATATCTTGTTCGAAGCTCACCTCCTGTCATTTCAGTTGGGATGAGATGCATTGATGATGGTTACGACTTCATATGGAGAGGCTCCAAAGGTGAACCTCCATACATGGTCAAACCTAATGGGGAACGCATTGAGTTAGTTGTCAGAGATTACGTACCCTACTTTGCAAATAATTCAAAGACGATTTCCACTCCATCAACTCAGCCTAGACCAAGCATTACCACCCCGGCATCAGATGAAGCTCAACAATCTCCGGAGCCCGATGGGGACATTGAGATCATTGGTGATGACCCCATGGGTATTAACGTTGACTTACCGGAGCCCCAGCCATTGGAGGCTGAGGAGGTTGATGTTCCTGATGCCGACCGGGAGGTTGAGCCGCCTTTGGGAGGATCTAAGGGTAGCAGTAGTAATGTCCATGATGATGGTGCTCACAAAAGATCACTAGGGGAAAAGGATTTGAAAGAAGAAGCCAGGTCCATTCGACATATGCTGACTCACATCCCTAAGAACCCATTTTGTGACATATGCACCAGAGCTAAGATGTTCAAGCCACCCTCAAGAGCCGTAGGCGGATCAACCAAAGTTAAAGCTGAGAAATTTGGTGACCACATCACCGCTGATTTTATTGTCACCAGAGATGAAGATGAGTTGGGAATCGATGATGAGAAAAGTGCACTCGTAGTGAAAGACATAGCCACAGGTTTTATATATGTCTACCCCAATGCCAGACGAACCACCAATGCTGCTATCTTGGCAATTAAACATTTCGTTGGACATGAAG